TTAACAGTCTCACAACACATCAACGCTATCCTTACTCAACCTTGGGTTCCCTATCACCAGCTTTCCTGTCCCCTTCTGCCTTCTAGTCCTTGTCCTTGGACTGCTGTGCCTCATTAGTCCCATTTGGTTTTATGGGGCTGTCCACTCCCTGGCTGAACAGTGAACCGGTCTTGAGGATTTTTTAGATCCTTTAGCTATCATATTGGGATAATTTTGAGTAGATGTCGAGGGGTCATGTGTAACTGGAGAACAGTTTTGATCTATAGTAGTGATGAAGAGCCATAAAATACCTCTCGTGTACTGATGGGGTTATCGCACGTGTTTTGTGTCTCTTTTATTGCAACTTCTTTGCCTTGACTTATCTTACATTTTCAGTAATAATCACAGTAAAATCTAACACTTAAAAAATGTTTTTTATGTGCCAGGCATTGTGCTTAGGGCTTTATTTACGTAGGTTATTTAATAAAATCCCCATTTTACATTTGACAGAATGCACCAAGAAGAAATCTGCCCGTAGTCAGACAACTAGTTAAGTACCAATGGTATGATGATTAGGAGTCTGACTCCAGAGTCCATGTTCTCAGTCATCTGATTGTACTGCCATCCAGTGAATGATTAAGTCATTGATACTCTATTATACTCAATTCTGGTAGTGTCTACTACTGTGATAGTCAGAATTATTCAGGTTTTTAGAAAATGAAGAGTAAGTATCCAAACAAATGATTATTGATATATTTCTCATTATTCTCTTTAACAGGGAAATTTGGGAACGTTTTTTATTACCAATGTGAGAATTGTGTGGCATGCAAATATGAATGACAGTTTTAATGTCAGTATACCGTATCTGCAAATTGTAAGTACATGTATTTTGGTGACCTTATTTTAATGCAGAATAAATAATTTCTGTTCAACAGTTAACAAGACTTTTGAGATTAGGTGAGTTCACTCTCCCTTTTGAAAGTGGTAGCAGTTATCAGCTGAGAGCATACTTTACTATTTCAACATAGAAAAGACCCAATTGCATTTATATTCAAGGGAAATAACACCATTATCAACTCAAGATTAAGAGAAAAATATGCAGGATTCTAAAAATTAAAATAGTTGGAATCCATTCAGAGGGCTTTAATTACTAAAGTTTTCCATAATTTTTCCACGAGGCAAGCGTATGATGGTTCCTTGGTATGGTTTTAGCATGCTGATTAACACAGTTTATCTTGGCTCTCTTGTCACTTTCTGCTCTAAAACCTTTTAAAACCAGAATGAATTCATTAATTTTATGAATGAACTGATTTCATTGTATCCAAATATAGCATGTAATGCAAGCTGGATTCATACTACAAGTTTACTGAAAAGGAGTCAAGATGGTTTATAGTGATAATGCTTGTAGTATAAGTTCAATTAAACCTAATAAAATCTGGAGTAAGAACTGAAACCAATTTTGGGGGGAGTAGGTAAAGATAGTTCTTTTTATTCTCCTGCTGCTATGATAAGTATGTGATTCAGTGAAATAAATAGTAAACTCCAATAAACTGAAGAATTTCATTTTTAATAAAGTACCTATTTATAGGACTCCAGCAGAGCCCTGGTGGGACAGTGGTTAAGAGCTATGGCTGCCAACCAAAAGGTCAGCAGTTTGAATCCACCAGCCGCTCCTTGGAAACCCTAGGAGGCAGTTCTACCCTGTCCTGTAGGGTCGGTATGAGTCGAACTCCACTCGATGGCAGCAGGTTTGGTTTGGTTTTGAGTGCAAATTAGATGGAACATAAAAATGGTTAATGAAAATCCTGTAAGGTTATCCTATGATAATTACCATTTTTGTAGGGTAGAAGTAGTTTTAAGACTAAAAATATTTATTGAGTAGACTTAATGTATACAATATCTGGAAAATGTCTTTTTTTTTTTTTAAAGAAAATTCTTGGCCTATAAGAAGGATAATTCTTTGTATAATATTCTCAAGTTCATCTTTTGCTAAATGGTTTGATTTCTGAGTGACTTTAAAATACCTGATCATTCATTCGTTCATCAAATATTGAGCACCTACTCTGTGCTAGGCACTAGAGATACAATCATGAAAATCATCAACCAGTGCATAGCATCTGCCATCAAGGAGGTTTCAGTCTGATGGGGAAAAGCAGCACATTAAACAGAAAAGCATATAATCTAACAGGAATAAAATTATTTCTACATCTAAAAAATATCCAAAAATATGTAAGAATTTATAATCAGGACTGGAAAGGTATAACAAGCAGAGTCTACATAGTTGTTTGATAAATTGGTATATGTATTGTTCATTGCTTTTTTATATTGCATTTATATGTGTTACAGCTTGCCTAACCTAACCTCTATTATGCTGAGTAATTACTGGGTAGTAAACAACCCTGTGCTTTCTGTTCTTCACATAGGATGATTTTTGTTATTTAAGAATAGAGTTGCCAAATCTGGCCTCTGGAATGAATTCAGCCTGGTCCAAACAATTTGCAATCTGATAGCGTCACAGTCTGTCACTGCAGCAGTCATATTCTAACTTCAGCTCTAGGCCTTTGCTGCGGCCCCACCCATGTAGATATGTATCAACTTCTGCTGCTTTCTATCAGCCTGTGTTTCACTCACAGTCACCTGGTTAGACTCCCTATTGACAGCTAGGGTGCTAACGCTCTGGCTTAACTGTCTGTATATGTACTGCTAGTGGGGTGTGAAGGAATCTAGATGGAAGGTCAGGTTTTTACAACAGTTACTTTGTCTCTTTTTGTTCTTCTCACTCTCTCTCAACTTCTAATGCTGGTCTGTCTGGAAGTGTGGTATGCCATCACTTGCCACAGATTACTCTGCGCTTTTGGTCTGCTGGTCGTGTTAGACCCTCCATGGTTCTCCTTTACTCTGCCAGCAAGTACATTTTGTGTCACTTTCTATAGGTCCTACCCACCTACCCCTTTCCCCTCCCTGGCCACTCCGTCTCCTGCTGACCAAGCTTAACCTTCATGTCACATTTACCTTTCTTTTGATGTTAGTTACATTTGATCTACCCCAGCCTTATCTGATATCCTATGAAAATTTGAGAAGACAACATTTGTACATATTATCTTTATCTTGTATCGTTATTATAGCAGAAAAATTAAATACATTTGCACTCTTGTAGTTTTTAACTACTAATGAAATTACTATTTTTGTTGTTTTGTGTTTGCTCTTAGGAATATTGCTATAATTTTTGTCTTTAAAACTAGCCAAAATAATGAATATAATAATGGAATGTTCATAAACTTTTTTTTAATAAATGGAATATAGTTTCTGTAAGAACTTAGCCACCTATGATGTGAGACATGGAAGGCAAAAGTGACTCTTCAAAACTAGCCCAGCCTTAGGAGCCACATAAGACACTAACTAAAAGATTGCTGGCCCTTTATTTAAAATAATCAGATAAGTTGTTGACAGTCGGGAAGTGGGGGGATATTTGTGTCAGAGCATTTTGTACATATTTCAGAGATGTCTTTTTATTGCCTTACAGTCTGCTACCTATTTTCGCTGAGTCTTAGTTCATTTACTTTATCTCTGTGGAAGAATAATGAAGGAAGGAATGTTATTTTAAATGCCACTTTAAATTGTTACTGTGTGAAAGTTTACACACTTGTATTAAAGAGTCACTATTACCAGATAATAAAAACATGCATGTTTTTCTCTCTCATTTTACATCTAGCGTTCAATAAAGATTAGAGATTCAAAATTTGGTTTAGCTCTTGTTATAGAAAGCTCTCAGCAGGTAAGATACATATATTTTTATTAGTCTTTGATTGATCTTTAAAACTATGTGACTGTCTAGATTTTTAGTTTTATTTACATAGTAACCAGTTTACAACCAAGAAGAATATTAACTATAATGTGAAGTTATATGAAGGGTTTGAGGTCTTACCATGATTGTCCCCATAGGAAGTATCTTGCTTTTTTGTTGTTGCTGGACAGATGTTATCATTATGATCATCATTTTTATTATTAATGACAGTATTAAGTCACTGTGCTAAGGGCTTTCCATGCATTATCGTAATCTTTACACACTCTATGATACATATGTTGTTGCTGTGTCCCGTCTAGTCAGTACCAACTCATAGCGACCCTATAGGACAGAGTAGAACTGTCCCATAGGGTTTCCAAGGAGTGGCTGGTGGATTCAAACCGCTGACATTTTGGTTAGCAGCAGAGCTCTTAACCACTGCACCACCAGGGCTCCACATTTACTGTATTTTCCCCATTTTACAGTTAGGGAAACTGAGGCTTAGAGAGGCTAGGAACCTTGCCCATGATCTCACAGCTAAAAAGTGGTGTGGCTAGGTTTTGATTCCTAGTCTGACTCATTCCCAAGACTGCCTTTGAGAAACACAGATAGACACAGACACACATTCACACTTTGTTTGAGATTTTATACTCATGACACACAGATGATTATCCTTTATCTAATTGTAAACTGTTATGCCAGTTTTTTGCAAAAATACATTAAACAAAATGTATTTATTTATGAAACACTACTCTTCTAGATTTAAACATGAATGTTTACTCACTCCTTTCCTCTGGCCTGTAGATTAATAGCTGCCATTTATTGAGTAGTTCCCGTGTACCAGCAACTATATCAAGTGTCATACATATGTTATTTAATTCAACTTAGTACCTGTTTTATGGATAGAAAATTGAGGCTTATAAAGGTTAAGGAAAGTACGTTTTCCAGCATCATGCAGTAGTTGTAGAACCAGAATTTGAACTCAGAAGCATCTGCTCTTAGCCCAAAGCATATGCTCTCACTTATTACAGTGTGCTCCTTCATTTATTTCTGCCCATAGCAGGAGATACAATACTCTGTCTTCTCCAACAATCTATTGTGCTCAAGTTTTTTTTTCCTAATTCTTCAGGAGATAGCCCCAAGCCGTTGCCTGTCTTTTAATGTATAGTCTATTCCTTCTTTCGAGGCCTAGCTCGAGAAAAACTTAGTTCACTTGGTCTTCACAATCTACATTGTGTGTGTGTGGTTTTTTTTTTTTTTAAATCTTAAAAGATCAGCTTGATATTTACAAATGAAATTATGATCTGGATCTGATTCAAAATAATACTGAGTGTTTGTCTGGGGAAGGAAGAGGTTATAGATGCAACAGAGCTGGCCAGATGTTCTTACTGTTGAGGCTGGATGATGGCTAATGGAAGATCATTGTACTGTTCTATTTTATGTTTGGCATTTTTCATAATAAAAAGTTCAGTTTAAAAAATCAACTTTCATATTATGTTATAAAATAAGGACAGTTAGAGCTATAATTTATCATACACTGTAAATACCGTTCTTCCTAGACTTGTTTTTTCATTATATTTTTCTTACAGAGTGGAGGATATGTTCTTGGATTTAAAATAGATCCTGTGGAAAAACTGCAAGAATCAGTTAAGGAAATCAATTCACTCCACAAAGTCTATTCTGCCAGTCCTATATTTGGAGTGGATTATGAGATGGAAGAAAAGGTAATTTGTTCAGTATGTAAAATAGAGTTTGCTGAATTGCTTTTATACAAATCTATGAAATTCAGATCTAAATACATTGTGTACAATTTAATTTTAAACTGTTTACATCAAAGCGAATACAGGCTCTGCTCGCTGAGCATAGTCCCTACACCATCACTAATTTGTACCTGCCACCTGTCTCCTAACTGGTTGCTTCATTATTCATTCCTACCCTCTATAACTGCCCATCTAGGTTAACAGCCTATCCATATAAGTCTCCTAATTTTATTACTCAAGTTGGTTTTGATAGAAAAAGATAAATTATGCAGTGATTTTTATAAGACTTGAGTTACTGTAGGTAAAAAAAATTCTCAAAGTATGTTTTACTAAAATGGTTTAATTAATATTGTATCCTTGATGCATTTTAACATGTACTAATTTTCAGCCACAGCCCCTTGAAGCTCTGACAGTTGAACAAATTCAAGATGATGTAGAAATAGACTCCGATGACCACAGAGATGCTTTTGTGGTGAGCATCCCAAAGGAGAGCTATTGAATTTCTTACGGTTTTTATTTGAGTCACGTTTAATTAGATAATGGTTTAAGTCTGTAAAATACCATAGAACTTGAGACTTTTGAGAATATCTTAAACATGAGTTCTAGAGTTTGTTTGTTTGGTTTTTTTTTTCCTTAAGTAAGGGCATGTCTTTTGTGTGAATACTTTTAACTTAGCAAACTGGGAAACAGTTTGAGAACACACTTATTCAGAGGAGTTCAGATACATGAAAAGTTTTTTCAAACCTTATAATAATAAAACATGTTAAAATTATAGTTGATTAATTTAAAATCTACTTTTTCCATAATTAATCCTCAATTTATAGGTATAGTTTTTTTTAAGAAGGACATGCCTTTGACACTAAACTTTCCTGTTTCCAAATTGGTATTACTTAATTAATAGACAAAATAATAAATTCTTTCTCCATACTTTGGTCTGTGAATCTAACTAGAATACATCTCTGGAAACAAATATTTTGAAACAGAGGTATGAAATTAGTATGAAAAGTTTAATTATAAACTACTTCTACCTCCAGCTATATGCATTTGTTGATACATTGGAGTACTAATTGATCGTTTAGAGGTTTTTTGTTTGTGTGTTTGCCAGCATTATCTTCCAAACCAAAAGTAGGAAAGACGTTTTATAGCTTTTAAGTCATTCTTTTTTATTTCCTTCCAAGTTAACAATGCCAATTATATATCAATTACAGTGCACATTTTTCAGATATTAAAACATAACTCTTGTAGACATTAGTAATGATTGTCAGAAGTGAACTCTGCTACCAGAATTGTAGAGATAGTGAGAAAAGCATTAGACACACCGTAAGAGAATTGAAATACATTCTTTTAGAAAATCATTCTGTAAATTAGTTACCTGTTCCTTAGCCCACTGATCTATTATAATATTACATGTTGAGTACAATATTATATGTGAAATTTTTTTTTTCTCCTAGGCTTATTTTGCTGATGGCAACAAGGTAAGGACATTTTACCTATAGTATATGAAAAAAAAATTCTATATTTTAACATTTAGTATCCACAAACTTATGTGAAACCTGTTTGTTTTTTTCCTCTTCCTTACCCCCCTTCTCTATTCCCATCTCATCCTCTTATCTCCTAAAAAGCAACAAGATCGTGAACCTGTATTTTCAGAAGAACTGGGGCTTGCAATAGAGAAATTGAAGGATGGATTCACCCTACAGGGACTTTGGGAAGTAATGAGTTGATCTTGAGTTGAACTGCATTTCTATTTAAAGATATCTCAAGATTAAAGATACTAGTTGCCTGGTTTAAGGCACAGAATAGGTTTTATATTTACAGAACAAGCTTTAAGAAAGAGTTTCTTAATGATTTAAGGGAAAACTCATTTATCTGAGATTTTACTGCCAGTTTTCTAAAAATTATATTTAAAATTGTCATTGAAGTGTATCTAGTTTGTAAATTTTTTTTTTATATATAATACTTGTAAACTATTAGTTTGCGGATTCTGAATGGCTGTATCATGTTGGGTTTAATAAAGAACTTATGCAGCACCATTCAATGTATTGAAAAGTATTATTTAAAAAAATAAGACTGTTCCTATAGAATAATCAAAATACTGCTTTTCTATTAAAAAATCTGGTTTAAGTATATTGTCACATAGTTCTAAATGTGATAAGCAACAATAAGATGCAACTAAGCAACTCTAATAAAAATGACGACCCTTAAGCCTGTCATCTTTAGGGGGACCATTTTTGTAAAAACTAAAAATTATAGCCTGTGAAGTACATCAGCCCCTACGTAAAGTTTTGGGCACTATTTTGTAAATAAATATAATTTTGGCAATAATACATTTATTTTGTAAGGAAATAGTTTATTTATTGACTTTCTCCTTGCTTGCATTCATTGAAACTTCCTTTAAGTTTTAAAAAATAAGGTATTATTTTCTGATTTTTTAGTTAAATTGGTAACCTCTCTGGCATCATTCACTGTTTTTTGCCTCTGCTTAAGTGTAAAGCAGCTTTGTGAGGAACATTTGTCAAATCTTTGAAATTAACCAAGTCAGCCTACTTCTTCTCTAGAGGGAAAGAGGTGGGTATGTAAAAACATCTAAAATAAGATGCAGCTGTATGTATGACTATGGACACTAGTACAACCCATGGACTACCCTGGGTTTATTAAAAATCAATGTGTAAAAGCTATAAATTGGTTTCTGCATTTAAATGGAGAATGATTTCTGGGTGTTTAAGGGAGGGAGTTGTAATAAACAACCTATATGAGAAAAAATTATTTAAAAAATGTATTTGAGTCTGAAGTAAAATACTTCCAAGAATATTATTTAAATACTGTATTTCAAGCAAAAGAAACTATAAAATTGCAAACTACTAAGGAGTAATCACAAATGTCATGTTTGTATCTGATTCATTAATCTTTTCAAATGTTAGGTGTTAAATGTGTAGAGAGAAATGAGTCATTTATTGTTTAAACAAGGGAGCAGCTGTTAGTTTTTTCTAGTGTGTTAAAACCTTTAGTGGCATCTATAAATGGAAAAAGTCAATGAGCTCTTCTGTCAGCTGTTGTTTTAGCAGCTGACAGTACCATTGACTTCACTGTGATGTAAAATAAAAGAAAAAACGGCTACTCAGGGATAGAGACCTTAAAGTTTAAAAATACATAACTCTCTGATTGGGGAGCATTCACTTATTTGACAGATATTTATGGAGCAACCACTAGGTGCTGGGGCTATAACATTGAACAAAACAGACCAAAACCAAAATCCGTGTCTTCATGAAGCTTATGTTCTTGTGGGCAGGTTTAAGAATACCAAACTCTGAAATTGTGTTCCTACAGTCCCCTTGAACTCAGGAAATATGACAATATGATTATGTAACAAAATATTTCATGAAGAATTATACAGTGCTATCTACATATAAAGGAACACTGGTGGCGCAGTGGTTAAGCACTTGGCTGCTAACTGAAAGCTTAGCTGTTGAACCCGCCAGCTGCTCTGTGGGAAAAAGATGTGTGTAGCAGTCTGCGTCTTAAAGATTGACAGCCTTGGAAACCCTATGGGGCAGTTCTGCTGTGTCCTATAGGCTTGCTATGAGTCGGAATTGACTCAGCAACAGGCTTTATGTATAAATGAAAGATATATTTTCTTTCATATCATGACTTCTACATTCCATAATTAATATGGTGTTCTATGATAATCAACAGCTTACATTATGATTCCAGTTATATATATTTTTTTCTCATCAGGGTTGTTTTCCAAATTTTACAGTGATGTGGCTCTTCATTCTGATTGTGCTGTGCTCTGTTGATAACGTTGTTCCCATGGGGTTACATCTGTTTTATTTTTTTTAGCTATTTCAACACTTAAAACTATAAAATATCTTTAGTGATCATATTTGTAGGTAGGTGGGTTTTTTCTTTCCTTAGTCTTGACTTTCTACTTTTTCTTTCTGTTATTTTTGTGTTTTGTTTTGGCTTTTTGCTGGTCTTGATGATTCCTTGTCATCTTTCACCTTTATATTCCTTTTTTTTTTTTTTTGCCACTTCAGATTCTCTGTAGAATGAGCAGGATGTGAATAAATTGAATAATTTTATAATCTAATTCAATACTAACTGTAGTTTTTCCATCTAAGAATGAAGATAATTTAGAGTGCCTTAGAAGATTAGTAGTTTCTCTGCATTTATTATTTTCAGTTATGAGGGAGATATTATTTTAAAAGTTATTTAAAAACTATCGTTATAGTCCATAAATCAAAGTCTTTAAGTGTCCTGCTTTTAAAAGAAAAATATATATCCCACTGTTTTAAGTAGAAAATAAAAATGTGTATGTGACTTCTTGGAAAGGGGATCTTATGAGTATTCAGATGAGCTCACCTCATATTCTTGACCTTTGCATCATTAATTCAGAAAGCCAAGTAGCTTGCCAGACCAGTTTTAGAGGACTGGCTCTTTTTTATGATTCAGTTTTTGATTAACTCAGTAAACATTTTCTTGTGGTAGCTTCTATTAGCATATCTTCTAATGCTTTATGTATTTTAAAGCTTTCCATTTCACGTAAATGTCTTGTGTCTTAGCTGTTTCCTTAGTGATTAAAAGTTCCAGTTGTTCCTTTCAATCTATAACAGCTGCAAGAACAACTCTTCTTTCCAAACTAGCTCTCCTAAATTCCGTTGTTAAGAGTTGGTATCTATATTTAGCCAGTGGGATTAAATTGCAAAGGCTTGAAGCTGGGCAAAGCACACCGATCTGCCTTTTTACGGCTAGACCTGTGTGCTGCAAGGAGCTAAGGCCTTCAGTGTCCCCTTCCTTACCCAGGTTGCTCACAAAATGGATTCCCAGCGGGAACTCGCAGAGGAACTGCGGCTTTACCAATCTACCCTTCTTCAGGATGGTCTAAAAGATCTCCTGGATGAGAAAAAATTCATCGATTGCACCCTAAAAGCAGGTGACAAAAGTCTTCCTTGCCACAGATTGATTTTGTCAGCCTGTAGCCCTTACTTCCGTGAGTATTTTTTATCCGAAATTGACGAGGAGAAGAAAAAGGAGGTAGTGCTAGATAATGTGGATCCTGCTATACTTGATCTAATCATCAGATACCTGTACTCTGCCAGTATTGATCTCAACGATGGAAATGTGCAAGATATTTTTGCATTGGCCAGCCGCTTTCAGATCCCCTCAGTGTTCACTGTCTGCGTTTCTTATCTTCAGAAAAGACTTGCTCCTGGTAACTGTTTAGCCATCCTAAGATTAGGACTTCTTCTTGACTGCCCAAGACTGGCCATCTCTGCCCGTGAATTTGTGTCTGATCGCTTCCTACAGATTTGTAAGGAAGAGGACTTTATGCAACTTTCTCCACAAGAACTGATCTCAGTCATTTCAAATGACAGCCTAAATGTAGAAAAGGAAGAAGAAGTATTTGAGGCCGTGATGAAATGGGTACAAACAGACAAAGAAAACAAAGTTAAAAACTTTAGTGAAGTGTTTGATTGCATCCGTTTTCGCCTTATGTCAGAAAAATATTTTAAAGATCATGTTGAGAAAGATGATATAATTAAAAGCAATCCTGAACTCCAGAAAAAAATCAAAGTTCTAAAAGATGCCTTTGCAGGCAAACTCCCAGAACCCAGCAAAAATGTAGAGAAGACTGGGGCTAGTGAGGTGAATGGTGATGTTGGTGATGAAGATTTACTTCCTGGTTACCTGAATGACATTCCCAGACATGGAATGTTTGTCAAAGACCTCATCCTTTTGATTAATGACACAGCTGCAGTGGCTTATGATCCCACAGAAAATGAATGCTACCTTACTGCACTAGCTGAGCAGATTCCCAGAAATCATTCCAGCATTGTTACCCAACAAAATCAGGTGTACGTGGTAGGAGGGCTATATGTGGATGAAGAAAATAAGGATCAGTCTCTACAGTCTTATTTCTTCCAGGTGAGAAAGACTATTTTTTTTATATAATTAGAGGCATAAAGGGAAAGCTGTTACCATCCAGTTAGCCAGTTGGTGAATTATTCAGGCTGCTTGCACTGTATTCTAATTGATGTCCAGTTCTAGTTCCCCTGCACTTTTAGTACTTAGAGGATTGACAGATATATTTAATTCATTTAATCTGGCTGCTTGTTAATATTTAATAAAATGGGGATGTTTAAATGATGACTCAATTTTTTAAATATTATTTTACAAAAAATGTCATATCTACAGTTGATGATGACCTTGATCCTTAAAAGCCCAGTATTTTAGTAAAACTGAAATTTAATCTTATACATTCTTACCTGAAAAATAGGTTAATGTGTTTCCCTAAAACAAAATACACATTCAAAGGTAGAATAGTCATATTTTATAACTTTTTCCAAGTTTCTTTGAACTGATTTGAAGTTCTTAGAAGTAGCATTTTATCTTTTATGGTTATTGCCTAAAATATAAGTTGGTTGAAAATGACAAGAACTTGTGTACATAGTCTACATACTTTGGATTAGTTTCCAGGAAAAATTACCTTCACAAGTGTTACTAGTTTGAATTGAGTATATTTAGAAGTTTTATTTATTATATCACATTTGGATCAAAGTTGTTTTTAGATATTATTACAATTTAGCAATCTGTTTTGTGAAGCCCCAGAAGTTCCCAAGAAAACAAGTTTTCCTAAACTAATAGACTCTTGGTAGTTCGTTTGAAGGGATTTTCTTTCATATTATCAATGCATTCTACTTTATCAGTTTATGAAGGAATCAGTGACTTAACCTTTATCTTTACTAATGCCAATACTTTGTAGGTTACATCTAGCTCAAAAGACTTTGTTTAGATCATAGCTAATCATGGCCTGGGGCTTATGGGCACTTGAGTTGAAAAGGCCAAAGATAAGTAAGGGTAGAATGTCATACCACAGTCACAGTAGCCTCTCAAAGTGTGTGACATACTGTGCATTCACAAAATTCTACCTTTAATCAGCTTTTTCTAATCTTGAAAAATACAGTTCTAAGTAACCATGTTTCTTAATTTTCAGAGTTCCAGGAAAGAATGTTAACTATGAAATAGAAAAATAAGATAAAAGCTGTCAAAATAAATATTTGAATACAGTCCAGAAAATTTCCTAAACTCTAGTTTTAAATTCAGATAAATTTCTGCTAAATCCATTGATAAAGGCTATAAATACATTCACGCTAAAATGACATCAAAACATGGATGGATGGACAGACAGGGATGGATGGATAGATCCAAGGGGTTGTTAAAGTCATAACAATAATTCTTAAAAACTCCCAGAGTTTATTTTTTATTCCATTTCATATTTAATTTTAATTGAATATATCTATAGCCCAGTCTGTTTACCTTAAACTTTACCCTTATTTTCTCCTATCCCATTACTACCCTTACGTTTATTGACATGTCTTTTCATTTCTGGTTCAAGAAACCTGCTTGATGTTCTTTTTGCCACAAAAACAGTTATACAAAGTTGGAAGGATTAACTACTCTATTAATTCCGTCACTACCGATGCTTTGCTGCTTTTAGAAGACACAATAGTAGAAGACAATGTCAGGATAAAAAGGCCTGAACAGGAAAGAGGGTTATAACTTTCAAGGAAATATTTTTATGAGAATTTAAGATTTTGTATTTTTATGCTTGGTTACCATTTGTTTAAAATGTATTAGGAATAATTTGACCTTTGATTGCACAGTACAAATTATGAGTATGTTACCTAAGTAAAAGGTTTTTTTAAAAAATAGAAATAATGGATGCATTAAATTTTTTAACAACACAAGGTCTTAAGTAATCTAGATCCAAACCCTAATTTTAAGGATGAGGAAACTGGAGCCCAGAGAAGTTAAATAGCTTGACCAGGATCACACAGATCATCTATAGAAGAGCCTGGCAGGCAGTCTACTGTTCTGTCTGCTATAAGGGGCATTATGGGGAGGTAAATAACACTGTACTGTGTGGGAATTAAGCCCTCAGGTTCAGGATTATGATGGCTGCTGTTTCACTTTTTGAAAACAAACTCTGTATTTAGATAGCTTGGACTTGAATACCACTTAAAACCTCGGGCAAGTTTTTAAACCTATCTGTACCTCAATTTCCTCATTTGTAAAATAGGGATGAGAAAAGTACCTATCCTAGAGGACTAAGTAAGATTATATGTGCAAAGTATTTAATACAAAGCCTATCACAAAATTAAAACTTCATAAATGTTCATTATTATTTTTACTATACTACACACCCCCTTGACTAAAGGATATTTTTCCAAAGTAAAAATTTTAGTGATCACAATCTAGATGTTGAAATTAGTAAATGAAAGCTAACAATGCACTAGTGGCGATTAAATCCCTCCTCTCATCTACTATTCATTAGTGCTTTTCTTTAACTGAGTTTACTAGACCAGATGTAGATAGGCTTCCACAGAGACCCGTCCCTATATCACAGGCTTTTATACCTGCATCTATTCTTGGTATGTAGTGGGTTTTATTCCTTTTTCTTCAGCTACAGAGAAGTAGCACCAGAGAAAACAACAAATCTGGCTGCACTCCCTCAGAAAACACTTTTCTTGTACATTGGTGTCCTAAAATGCAAATTGGAAAATCTTAAAATTACCAATAGTGAGTTGAAACCGATGCCAGCCATGCCAGAACTGCCTACCCAAGAGCACCGGCACTAGGAAGACCATCTTAGGCTTGCAGAAGTGGGAGTAGCAAAAACAGGCAAAGTTACTTCTTAATACCGGAAAAAAGATACTGCTTAACTTCCCAGTTGTCTGTGGACTGAGTGACAGGTCCAGCTGTCCTGGGTGCCGGCTTGGGGAGCACGTTAAATATAGCAGTGTGACCCTCCCTGCTGTCACAACCTTTCTTTCCCCAGTGTAATAAAAGTATTATGCTGCCTTGTTTCACATTTGAACAAGCCAACATGGGAAGAAAATTTGACAAGAAACCTCAGAGTTTTAACCTCTGGTAATTCTACTTTATTCTCATTTTCCTTCTTGAAGTTCTGAAGATTTTGGTAATTTTAGCTATTTTGGTAGGCCAAGTAGATTTTCTCATTCTTTTTGGTAATTCAAAGCTAAAATATGGTACTTTTGAATTGTAGTTTTATTTCACCTGCCAGATCTTTGACTATCTCAATGAATTCTAAACAACACATAGAGTATAGTATATATTTTTTGGTACACCTGTAACTTTTTTCTACAAGCTCCACAATTTCTTAAAAATTTTTTTTCAGCTTGATAACATAGCATCTGAGTGGGTTGGACTTCCTCCTCTGCCTTCAGCCAGGTGTCTCTTCGGTCTGGGAGAGGTAGATGACAAAATCTATGTAGTTGCAGGCAAAGACCTTCAAACAGAGGCTTCGCTGGATTCAGTGTTATGCTATGATCCTGTGTAAGTTGGCATGACATTACTGTTTCCTAAGCATTCATGGCATATGATTGCCTAAAACATATTCACATTTTTATAAGCTGGTGTTATCTGAAAGCATATAAATTCTATCTTCTAATTTTAGGGGTGTAAAATGGAGTGAAGTAAAAAAACTTCCTATCAAAGTCTATGGCCATAGTGTGATATCACATAATGGGATGATATATTGTCTAGGAGGAAAGACAGATGACAAGTAAGTAGCCTCAAGTTTCCTTATGCTTTACACCTAAATTATTCTTTTTTTAAAGGGTTCCTTCCTCTTTTCATTTAAATCTGTATATTGAAATGGGTCTTGGTCCTCAACCGATAATATTTTAGAGGTAAAATTTCAAAATAAAAGTTTGAAAAGTTTTTAGAGGATATTATAAATTATTTCTGAAGGAAAACTGTATAAAATTTAAAAGTTGCTAAAATATGTAAATGCAAGTATACTCGTAGGAACAAACATAATACCTCCATCATAAGCATTTTTACAGTGAAAAAGCAGCATTTAGGAGCATAATCAAGTCTTATTTAGCTGATTTGTAATTGTATTTTACTACATGAAAGCCAGTGGGCTTTCTTATTCATTTAGCCAGAGGAGATAAAAATGAAATGTATCTCTTTAATGCAGTAAAACAATAACACATAAAAATACAGTGTATTTGTACTTTACATTCATAGAAGGGAATTTAGAAAGTTGAGTTTGAAGCTGAAAAGCATGGTCCCTGGAAAGAGGGCAGTTATTTCCTCAGCAATATTTCACTTACTTACTCCTGGAGAGAAGCAATATTCACAATACTTCACAGCTAATTGCAAACAGGTACTGATCAAACAGAACAGATACTCCCTGGTATTCTAGTGCCCACTCTCTTGTGAGAAAAACAGAAGCACCTTCATATAGAACCCTAACTTGATTTCTATGCATTTCTTAAGAGATGAAAGAGATCTTACAATTCAAAGAGAGGAGAAATGACTTCAGACTGCTCCAGAAGTCAGTCAGTTAAGCCCGTAACCTGGAAAAATGAACGTTTTCAGTTTAGACATTGAGCAGCACAAACCTCCTGCCCCTGAAACTTCTGCCTAAGCTTGTCATTATTTGCCCAGGCTGTTTAATAAATAGAGATGTCTGATTCTAGAGAGCAAGCCAGAATTGAGAGTTGTAAGGGCAAAGCAGAGGAGGAGAGCAAAATATGAAAATGTGTTAGAAGTAAAGAACTCTATATTCTTGAGTTAATAATTAATGGTTATTATTCTATAAAAATGATATAGAACAGAAAATGTGGTTTTTAAAAAACAATGGTCTTTATACAATCTACCCATATTCAAAGATAATATATATTGATATCCTCTTTAACAGCAGCATCACTAGGGTTGGTGTCACCCGGTGCGATAACTCGTGGTGTCACGCCCCCCCATAGACCCCTCCCATACCAGACCATACAGAATCCTTCGTAATGGTTTTTGTACCTATGTTACTCGTAAATCATAATTTCCATATATTACTCTTTCTTTTCCTTTAATTACTACTTCAATCTCAAAAAAGTTATTGATACAGGTTCACAAATACTAATTACTACAATATTGTAGCTAAACCACCAGAAAATTTGACAAGAGCAGCAACTATAAAAACACCAGCAGCAACGAAAACAACAGCAAGTGCTTGTAGCACACGCAGATGAAACCATGATTCGAAGTGTTACCGTAATTGGGTAATAATGACAGCCCTGACCAGAGGGCATTAGAAGGTTCAAAAGTAAATTAGCATGGAGTTTTAGCCGTGTAGGTATATTGACACATGTAAGCTTGGGTACGAAAAATGGTTTTGTTGTCATAACTAACTACAGGGATATTTTTATAAAAAATAATAAATTTGTGGTGAAACACTGCACAAAAATTTTATAGACAGTCATTTTGGTGTCACCTCCTCTGACAGTGTCACCCAGTGTGGTCCACATGCCCCACACCACCCCCTAGTGATGCCATTGCTCTTTAATCCCAGCTATTTCTACAAAATAAAAATTTAAAGGAAAGTATAAACTCCATCCAGTGAAGTCTTATTTGGGGCATTTTTCCTGGGTAAATGGAATGGAAAATCTGTGTTAAGCAGTGTTCTGACTCCTGAAACATAGGAACCCTGCCAAATGATTTAAATTGTTTCCTCAAGTAGTATTAGAAACTAGGACATTGATATGTCAGTAAGAAGCGTACAAGTCTTGTCAGTAAGAATATATTAATCTTGAGAATATGATTAATGAAGATAGCATTGCTTGACAAATGCCAAAGTCAAGAACTTTGAAATGAGTCATTATCTAAGCAGGTGTTGAATTGCACTAGTTCCCATCACAGAATTTGAAGACCATGATTTTGTATCATGTTTTTGATCAAGAGGTTTTACTTAAAGTGATCCCATAATCAAATATTAGAGGAAATGTTTCTAGTCCAGATATCTGGTCTTTTGTAAGATTCAAGAAAAAAAAAAAATGTCCTCACAAAAAGTTGGTTTTGTTTTGGTACTACTAAATATATCTCAGTTAATTATCATTTGGAATCCTAAACTTCCATTATTAAATTACGGATAACTTTAAGGAATCAGAAGGAACATAACTCTGGAGAAAAATTCAGATGAGTCTACGTTTTTCTGGCAGTTGCCTGGAAGTAAAGGTACCCTACCTTTCAGTAGTATAATTAAGTTATAAAATAATTCGGTACCACATTTGTAATTGTCTTTTGCTTAGCAGTATATGTTCAAATAAGACTTTGAAGTTTTTCTGACCTTCTGCTGTACTGCATTTCATATGAGAAGCGAAATTACTAGCAAAGTTGTGTCTTTAAAAAAAATTGAATAAAAGAAAATTTAAAAATATTTTTTAAAAATCAAAGGAAATTCTAAAAAGAACATTTTGTTGTCTTTCATGTTTACAGAAAGTGCACAAACAGGGTGTTTATCTACAACCCCAAAAAAGGAGACTGGAAAGATCTGGCTCCAATGAAAATCCCTCGTTCCATGTTTGGAGTGGCAATCCATAAAGGCAAAATTATGATTGCAGGAGGTGTCACTGAAGATGGTCTTTCAGCCTCAGTTGAAGCTTTTGACCTCACAACCAATAAGTGAGTTGCTGTATCTTAAACTAGAGCATATGAATCACTGTACATTTTCATTTTTAATTTTGGATAAAAATTAAACTTTCTAATTAGGACATGGGGAGAGGAGGACAGGGAGGCATAGATTAAAGAGGAAATATTTTCATCTGTGTTTCTTCTGCCATTATTGGGTGTAAAACACCTAACATTTTGATGTATTACATGTGTTCGTAATTTGGAGTACAGAACCCTCAAGTTAATGGTGGAATGTTCTGTTTGTCCTTGCTTATTATTAACTTTGTGAATTTAGTTGTACAAAGGTAATATTTCTGAATAATTGTGTATCTGTAGATCAATATACATGTCTCTGTAGAGTTATATAGATTTGAAATACGTAGTTTAAGGATGAAGATACCTTCACTTAGCATTAAATGACTATTACTTGTAAATTATGAATGCCTCAGAGGTTTAATTCCTTTATGCTCTTTCTAATTTTCTTAAAATTTTCATTTTTAAGCTTTTATTGGTTTAAAGTTAACGTGAAAAGATATTTGACAGATATTCTTTATACAAAATTAGTGTTTTTCAAAATTTTGAGCTTATGCATCTGGATGAGTATATCCTTTTTATACTCCTAGTTTAGCAATGAAGAAAAAATTAGAACACTATTACTTTTTTAAGGAACCATGTATGCCTGATTACAAAATAGACTTTTGAATCTGAAAATCATGAGGAACTTTTAAGGAATATTTAAATATTCATTAAAAATCATGTTTTTGAAGACTGTATAATGAGAAAATGCTCATGATATAAGAAGTTAAAGCAGCATACAAAACTGCAAACATTCTGTGTTCTTAATTTTGTTCATATATATGGGTGCTAATATTTATATTTACACGCTTTTAAGAAACACGATAAAATGACACCAAAATGTTGCTAATGATTATGTGTGTAGGGTATGATCATGGGGGATAACTTTTTTCTTCTATGCCTTTTTGTACTTTGCAGGTTTTCTACAGTGTAGATATATTATTTTTATAATTAGAAACTAAATAATATGTATAAAGAAAACCCATGAGGTCCACTTTTAATGTCAGAGTAATGAAAATAGAGAGCTACTGAAATGACTAACTCATTCTAGACTCCTGATACTTCCAGTTAACTTGATTGATTTTCCTTTTAGTTGTCCTATTTCAAATGGTTAACATTAAAAAATACCCTTAAATGATGAAAATATGAAGTACAAGTCGTTAGAAAGAAATCTTTCACCCTCAGTTTCTAAACTTTCCTTATAATGTTTCTGTTATCATTCAAGTGAAATCCAGCACGGTAGCAGGTTGGAGGCCTAGGAGCCCTAGACCACCACAAACTCTGTAGTTTGTGGCACAGTGTGACAACTACTGCTGAAGGTGCTAACTGATGAAGCTGAAGTATTCTAGGATTGACATATTGAGGGTTTTATATCTAAATGTGGTTATTTCAAATAAGGAATATTTAAATATTTTTCAGTAACTAACTTCCTTAATCTTCTAATTTTGGGTATCTATACTATTTGAATTTTTTTATTATAATTTCCTATAATTTTTCAGTAAATGCATTGGCATTTCTTTAAATTTTGCATTGACTGTATTTTCAATAATGCCTAGGTGGGGAGTAATGCCTGAATTTCCTCAAGAAAGAAGTTCTCTCAGTTTAGTCAGCCTGGCTGGATCCCTGTATGCCATCGGTGGTTTTGCTATGATTCAACTGGAGTCAAAAGAGTTTGCACCCACCGAAGTCAATGACATATGGAAGTGAGTTCTCTTCGCTCCAGTTTTCTGAACCAAACATTAAATCAGACAACTGATAATTGATAAAATAAACAATTCTGTAGTAAATTTTGTAGCAAGCCAGACTTTCCCACCTTGTAAGCTACTTCTTGGTAGTAAACTAAACACTCTTTGACACTAATTGATATTTAGCATTTGCCACTTATTTGATCAAGTACTGCCTCTAATTAGCTGTGAGCTTGGGAAAGAAATAACATTCTCTGGGCCTGTTTCTTAATCAGTAAAATGAAAGTTGGACTATAGATCCTTTAAATTCTATTCAGCTCTAAAATGCTGATGCTGTAACCATCCAATAGAGCAAAGGCTACTTCATTTCAAAACACTTAGCTTTCAACCAGGGAGTAGTTTATTTCCTAAGAAAAGAGTATATTTCTGAAGAAACATACTTAACCTCTTGAGTTTTCCATAATTCATTAATTCAATTTTGAATCTAATTTAAATAGTTTTCCACTTGTTTGAGGATTCAGTTAACAAAAGCTTTTTAAAAAGAAGAAAAAATCAAAAGTAGCAACCCATTTTACCTCCCAGATAGGTGCTGGACAGTTCTTCCTAAATATGACACTTCCAACTGTTATAATTGAACTGTTTTACAATTAGACTTAAAAAATAAATGTTAAAAAAAAAAAGAGGATTTTACTATAGTTTCTAATGTAGTGAATGTCATATGGAGACCAAGGCGTGTCCAGGAAGTCTTGTAAACAGAAGTTTAAGTTTGTGTTACGGAGAGTCACAGAGCAGGGCTTAGAGTGGCTAGATGTCTGGTTACCCTCAGGATACCACATATGTCTGCCAAATGGCACCTGCTGCCTTCAGCTCAGGCACTGTGCTTGCTTATTGAAGTTTCCAGGTGGTAGATCCCAGGTGTCCAAGGTGAGCATAAGTGAGTTCATGCTGTACACTCACCCAGAAACTCCCAAGCTCATGCTTTTCCTATCTGTGTAAAGGCCAGCCCACAATTCCCAGACTGGATGCTGCAAACATTGATGCAAAGCATGTGTTCTGCCCTTACCTGGCCTGTTACCAGTTTGTCTAGAACAAGGCTTTGAACCGGTTCTGCTTCCAACCGGTTCATTCAAGATCAAACCCCTGCTGACAGTTTGCATCTCCATCCCAGATACACTGAATAAGAATCTATAGTTTAACAAGATCCCCAGGTGATTCTTATGTATAACAAATTTTGAGAACCACTGCTTTACTAGTGGTTCTCAGAATTGGTCCCTAACCAGCAGCATTAGCATCCCCTGGGAACTTGTTAGAAATGCAAATTCTCAGCAGGGGTTCGAACCAGAACGAACCGGTTTGACGCCATGGTCTAGAACCTTGCTACTCAAAGTGTAGTCTGTGAAGCAGCAGCATTGGCATCTGCTGGGTGCTTCTTAGAAATGCAGAATCCCAGGCCCCACCTCAAACCCAAACCAAACCCGTTGCTATCGAGTTGATTCCGACTCACAGCAACCCTATAGGACAGAGTAGAATTGCCCCATAGAGTTTCCAAGGAGTGCCTGGTGGATTTGAACTGCCAACCTTTTGGTTAACAGCTGTAGCACTTAACCACCACACCACCAGGGTTTCCTACCCCAGAACAACTGAATCAGAACCCACATTTTAACAAGATTCCTAGGTGATTTAAGTCTATAGGTACAGTTTTGGAAGAGCACCACTTCCACTTGATCAGCGAAGTTATACCACTGAGCCTAAGGGCAAAACGTGGGTCAGGTCTGTACCTGAACCAAGGAGCCCTGGTGGCACAATGGTTAAGAGCTTGGCTGCTGACTGAAAGGTCAGTGGTTTAAACCCACCATCCACTCTACAGGAGAAAGATGTAGCAGTCTGCTTCCATAAAGATTTATAGCCTTGAAAACCCCATGGGGCAGTACCCTTTTCTATAGGGTCACAATGAGTCAGAATTGACTCAATGGCAATGGGTTCCTCAAAAAAAGAGGTAGGAAGGGAGATTTCCAGAGAGAAAAGAGGCTAAAATTAGTAAGTGGATGAGATATGGGAGAAAGACTGGAAGCAGTAGAAAAAAGGCTGGAAGCAGATGAAGTAATGGAGGGCTGAGAAGGTTAGGGTTTTTGGGAAATGGAGCCAGGTGCCAAGGATGAAGAGGCAGTAATTCTCAGCCTTGGCTGCAGATTACAATTGCCTGGAGAGTTTTTGAAATATACCAGTGCCTGGGCCTTAACCTAGACCAATTTAATCAGAATTTCTGGGGGTAGGGCCTAGGCATTAACAGTTTGTAAAACCTTCCTAGAGTGATTCTAATGTGAGAGTTGAGGTGCAGTGATGTTAAAGAGTGGTGCAAACAATCAACTGAACCACACACGAGCCACTCTGGTTCCTAATCGTGGTCAAAAGCCAGGCTGCCCTAGAAGAAGAAAGTTATAGGCAACAAAGAAAAATACAGCATATCCTGTTAAAAGTAGCCCTTACATTGCTGAGGAGAACCTGGAAGAAAGATCTTCTGTAATTGCAGTTTATTTTGCAATTAGCGCCTTGATTCCCAAACTTGCCCGCAGATTGGAATCATCTAGGGAGCTTCAGAAAGTACTGATGCAGCCCCATCCATGGTTGGACATCAAAATCAGGAACTTTTTTTAAAGTTCACATTCCCAGATGTCTCCCTTAGTGATTTTGATTCAGCTAGTCTAGGGTAGTTCCTAGGGGATACCTATATTTATTATAAAGTCCCCCAAATGAGTGTGATAAGCACCTATGTATGAGCACTAGTGCTGTAGGTTAAATGTAGAGCATCGCTGTTCTTTTGATAGGGTTGTGAAACCTGTTCTGACCTCACCTGTACAATATACAGCTCACCTTTCAGTAGCACTGAGCAAGAGATCCACCTCTTCTTCCTTTTATTAGGAACAGCATATACAAGAGCAGCAAAAACTAGTCTTCACTTGTACAGATTAAGACAATCAATGGTATGACTTAGATTACTAACCTCTGACCTAATATGATCTAATTCACTTGGTCTCAGGTTTAACTTCGGGCGTTTTGAAAAAAGGTAATGCAAAGGTCCCACCCCTAGAAATTCTGATGTAGTTGGTCACTGGCCTGGGCATCACTCTCCTTGGTTCTGAGATGAAACAGATTGAGAACCACTAACCGAGTTAACTTCTGGGCCTCAGTTCTTCATCCAGAAAATAAATCATTACTTTTATGAATGTAAAGATATATAAAATATTAGAGTTTATATGATAGTATACTATTGTTTAATGTTTACTTCCCAAGTAAACATCACAATTTTTAAATGTATTTTTTAAAAAAAATTGTATTAGTAGCTTAAAAAGTAAAAAGTACTGATGCCTCTGTCCCACCTCTATTGATTGTGATTTAATTTGTCTAGGGTATGGCCTGGGCATTGGAACTTTTAAAAGATCCTCCGATGATTCCAGTGTTTAAGCAGTTTGGGAACCACTGGACTGGGGAAACATAAGAGGGGACATTTATCACTATCTGCTTAGGGCTGTAAAATACTAAATTTAGGTACTGGCATTTTCCATTTGGGTAAGATAATCTGAAGCAGTGATTCTCAAACGTTGCTGCATATTAGAATGACTTGGAGGGCTCTTAAAAATCTTCATGCCCAGGCCATACTCCATACCAGTTAACTCAGTCTCCGGGACTGTTAAACATATCAGTACTGTTAAACATATCCAGGTGGTTCCAATGTGCAGTCAGGTTTAAGAACGAGTGATCTGTCTATCGCAGTGATTCTCAAAGCAGCATCAGTATCAGCTGGGTACTCATTACACAAGCGAATTTTAAGGCCTTACCTCAGAGCTACTGAATCAGAAACTCTTTGAGTGGGGCCTAGCAATCTGTTTTAACAAGCCCTTGGGGTGACTCTGTTGTACGATAAATTTGAGAGCTACTGAACTAGACAAAGATGGCTGCCCACCTGCCCTCAACTTCCTAGTGGATCTCTTTAGTCACACATGCAGAGATAAAATGTGAACAGTATACCACATTCTAAACCCCTCTTACTGTGATGTGTAAAAAATTTCCATGCTTGTACTTTTTTCTTGAAATTATTTGTTAGTTTAGGACTGGCCGTATGTTTTTAGCTAAAAGTAAAAATATAACTGCCATGAAACATTTTGAAGCCTCATTTAATCTTAACCTCCTGTTGCTTAAATGTGGTCATTTTTCTTCAAGCCATGTAAACCTGTTCTTTATCTCTTAATTTGTTGCCCTAAACTTTGCATAGGAATTAGGATTTTTCCCTATATTAGTGATATTTTTTGTCTACTTTTCTCTATGTAGAAATCACTCAGTGCGTGGTCCAATTGTTGAGGAGAGTTAAATTTGGAGGATTGATGAAATTAAGTCAGACAGTGCATATCTTGTGTAGGTACCAGCTAACTCCAATAAATAATTACTTTAAATCTCATTCATTCACCAGAATGATTTAGAATATTTCCTATGTGCAAAGTATTGATAGCTTCTGGAGAAGGGAAAATACTAAGGTGAATAAGATAGATTCTTTGTGCTCAGGGCTTTGGGCTTCTTCAGGATGTAGATATAGGGAAAGAATTAAGATAGAGTGATAATTTCTCTAACAGATAATATATAAAGGGCTAAGTGAGAACTGAAGAGAAAGCAACGAATTCTGCTTGAGGAAGACAAGCCTTCAGAGAGAAGGCAACGTTTGGGAGTTTCTCACAGAGAAAAGAGCTTGTTAGGCACTCATATTGGGTACTCCTGTTTCAAAGGAATGCAAGTTGTCTGTATCTTTGTAACCCTGAATATTCAGAGATGAAGAGCAGTTCTTACCTAAAGTCGAATGCAGAAGTCTTAAGAGTAGCCCTCCAATAGGACAATAAAGGCAAAGGGGAATGAATTTTTATTGAGTACTACGTGTCCGGTACTGTGCTAGGCACTTATGTATGGGAACAGATGAAATCATAATTAAGGCTATTACAGGCAGCTGCTCTTCTCCAGTTCTTCCTCTGCTTACTTATGTACTCAGAGACCGGCCATCTTCATTAATCAAAAGGTGAATGACTATTTAACTGTCCATTACTTCTCATCTATGCACAGCCTTTGATTCCTAGAGAAGGCATAACTGCCTCGGTATCTAGATTAAGTACTGCAGCAGTAGTTTAGGCATATGCTCAGAGAATGCAAATTTTGGGAGGAATTCAAGTGTTATTCTACCAGGCTGGTGCATCCTCCTCTGGGTAAGAGCTAGCAGGGTCTTAAAGCCATAAAAGGCCATAACCACCACTATGCTTTTCAAAGACCCACATTTGCCAATAAAACTACTTACAAGCTGCTTATTGATTACTTTTTTTTTTTCTCCATCAGGTATGAAGATGATAAAAAAGAATGGGCTGGGATGTTGAAGGAAATCCGTTATGCTTCAGGAGCTAGTTGCCTAGCAACACGTTTAAATCTCTTCAAACTGTCTAAACTATAGACAAGAAGGTGACAAAACATAGTAGATTGGGAGGTCATTTGTTTGTTTAATATGGCTTTAATTCATTCTGTTTTTTTTTAAGCCTGTACAGAGTTTCATTTAGAAATCTATTATTCACTGAGTTATTGTCTAAGAGGTTAGCAGTGGGTATCAATAAATCTTCAATGTTATGTTCATAGTTTAAAAAGGTTTCTAGTAAGAAAACATTAAGTCGAACAAATTATTTCCTTTGTTAATATGTCTCAACTATAAAGGAGGTCCTAAATTTAAGTTGTTTACTAATCACTTCATTTGCATTGTTAGGGTGCCTTTATACTCGTTTTCTATTACAAATGAAATTGGAGAATGAAATATGTACATCTGCATCTAGAAAAATAATATTGAAAATATCAAAAACCTTCTCTAGTGCTTCAAGATATAACAGGAATCCTGTGCATTATAGTAAAGAAGTTTACATGCCATGAGGAGACTTTGGAAATATTATTTAAAGAGTGTAATAAATAGGTCTCATTTGAAGGAGAAAAGTCTCCAATAGTCAAATTCAAGTGGTCTTTTTTTTCTCCATTCTTTTTGCGACACTGGTGTATTCTGTTTGTGATTTCCCAATCAAATTTAAAATCTGTAGATCAGTCTTCAAACGATTAACTACAGTATCTGTGGTGGGCAGATAGGGGATGCATCAATAGGAAATGAACTGATTCTTTAAATGGCTGGAATGGGAATTGGGGGCAACGGGTGGCAAGGAAGAGGGTGTGTATTCATTGGTTTAAGTTTTAGCTGTACTTTCCATGCAAGGGCTATTTGCAAATTTCCAGTAGCAAGAAAGGTCAAAGGAAGGTATTACTCCTTTGTCTGTTTTGTGAGGCCCTATATTCAAGCTGTTTGTTCTTACTGTATATATAGTAAGTTGACTCTTCTGACTGTCCATGCCATCATATTCAGCTACATGCAAGCCATCAACTAATCAATTATCTTAGCCACATGCCAATTTGTCAGTCTTATTTAGCTTTCATAGGCATGTGCTTGACTTCTGTCCTTGCACATAGTATTTTCTGAGAAACCTGACTTGTGACTAATTTGGAGCATTCTACAGCTATTTATCAAGCAGTTGTATAAAGACAGATAAGTCTTCGTAGAGCTTTATTTTCTCTGCCATAAATATTGAAATATATTCAACAAAAATCTATTTTACCTTGGATCCCTGAAGTACAACCCTGATTATTTTTCCATATTAACAAATATTGCTCTGAACTGTACCATGAGTATGTTTAAATCTCTTCAAACTGTCTAAACTATAGACAAGAAGGTGACAAAACATAATCATAAAATCAGCAAATCCTGATAGTGGGAAACTACAGGTTCTTCAACAGATAAACTGTAAGGAAATGAAAGGGATGGAGGGGAAGCCTATAGATTAAGACAAAAGCAAAAGAAGGGAGAGTTATGGGGGAATTATGTACAACTGGATGCTAAGACTTTTGGAGGAGAGAATGCTGATTTATATAGACATAGATTGTAAAAATAATGCTTCTTAAGAAGTTTCTTTTGGGGGTGATGAAAATGTTCTAAAATTGACTGTAGTGATGGTTCCCTTTCTATAAATATACTAAAAAATTACTTAATTGTATTCTTTAAAAGGTCAGTTTTATGGCATGTGAATTATTTCTTAATTAAAAATGCTTTTGTTTATAATAATCCCAGTAATTTAGACAGAAAATTCAAATAAAAATAATATATATAAAGAAAACCATTTGAATCAGAGGTAGTCTAGAGAAAGAAGAGTAAGAGATCTGGTACATGAGAAGTCAGATTATGTGTAACAGTAAGTAAAAGATACCTCAGGATCATTTAATGAAGATTTCTGTCTAAAGTAGACAATAAGTAGATTTTCAATTATTTATACCTGAAGGAAAGTAAACAATTTATAACCCTCAACAGTCCATTTTATTTTAAAAGTTGCATAGTAAAATATCTTAACCTATTCAGATGTTTAGTTCTTGTTAGATACTTAAATATAGGAACAATATTAGAATTTATTATTTTCTTATTATTTCATTCATTAATAAAAATGACTAATAAACACTTAGATTTTAACATATGAGCTAATACAAATAAGGATCATGAGGAAATTCAGAACAAGGAAGACTGGTTATAAGGAGACATCTTTGACTTACCTACTATTCTGATTCTGTTTTTCACAAAAGTTTCTGTGAAGTTCACATTATGCAAAATCATTAAGTATTGGGGCTCAAGTCATGCAAAGTCATTGGATATTTTGAACAAGTATGTCAAACTAACCACTACCTGTGTGTCATATTGTGGTGGTTTGTGTGTTGCTATGCCACCGATGTTTCAATACCAGCAGGGTCATCCATGGTGGGCAGGTTTCAGCAGAGCTTACAGACTAAGACAGACTAGGAAGAAAGGCCTAGCAATCTATTTCTGAAAATTATCCAATGAAAATTTTATGGATCACAACAGAATATTGTCTGATACAGTGTCGGAAGATTAGCCCCCTAGGTTGGAAGGCACTAAACAATAGCTGGAACAATGGACTCAGATATACCGATGATAATGAAGATGGCACAGGACTGGGCAACATTTCATTCTGTTATACAGAAGGTCACGATGAGTCAGAACCGACTCAACAGCAGCTAACAACAACCAACCAAACCTAAACCAAATTTCAGTGAAGAAATTACATGCAGGACACACATTTTAAGGCTATGCTTAAGGTTGAAGGCACTCTGGCCACCAATTTATTCTGGAACAGTATGAATTTAGAGGGTCATGGAGACAAAAGATACCAAGTTTCAGATGGCTAATTCCTTCTACCTCCACTAGGTGGCCTGAGAGTAGTTACAATATGGCTTTCTCCTGAGTAGAAATAAATCACTCTTGAAAGAAGGGTTGAAAGGTCTGTGGTTGGAATGGGGTTATGGCAGCCGGCTTCATGCATTGTCACACAGTAGGCCCCTAGTAACTCTTCTGTTGAATAAATGTGTTGTAAGACAGAAAATCCTCAGCAAGTATAGCATCAGACCAGGTCAAGATTGGTCCACTTCTCTTCCTACTTTCTCTGAGTCCACTCCAGTAAGGCTTTCCTACCTACCATTTCACCAAAACTACTCTTTTCAGGGTTACTAATGGTTTTCATGTTACTAAATCTAATGGACATTTCCCAGTCCTCATCTTACCTGACCTATCGGCAGCATCTGATGTAACTGCTTACCTCCTCCTCCCTGAAATGCTTTCTTCACTTGGCTTCTCTGACTTTTTCTCCTACCTCATTTGCCACCCCTCCTCAGACTCCTTTGCTGGTTCTTCCTCTTCTTCTATTTCTTAATGTTGGAGTGCCCCAGAGCTCAGTGCTCAGAACCCTTCTCTAGTCCCACTCTTGTCTAGTCACACCTTAATGATTCCATCTAGTCTCCTGGCATTAAATATGCTGACAATTTCCAAATTTACGTCTGGATCCTGGACCTCTCTGACCTCCAGACTCATTTATTGAATTGTCTATTTGATATATTCACTTACATATTAAAAAAAAAAAAAAAACCAGCTGCCATCGAGTCGATTCCAACTCATAGCAACCTTATGGGACACAGTAGAACTGCCCCATAGGGTTTCCAAGGAGTGACTGGTGGACTCGAACTGTCAAACTGGTTAGCAGCAGAGCTTTTAACCACTATGCCACCAGGGCATGTATTTAAAAGGCATTACAAACTCAACATGTCTTAAAACCAAATTCGTGATCCTCCCCTGCCCTCAAACTTGCTCTTCCCATAGACTTCCCATCTCAGTTAATGACAATGACATTCTTTTAGTTGCTCAGGACAAAAACCCAGAATTATCCTTTTCTTTCTCTCATACCACATATCCAATATGTGAGCAAATTCTGTTGCCTCTGCCTTCAAAAGAGATCCAAAAATCTGACCCCTTATTACTTCCACTGGAACTACTCTTAAGCCACCATTCATTTCTTGACTGGATTATTGGAATAATGGGTCTCCCTGCTTACACAATGGCCCACTGCAATCTTTTCTCATCTCAACAGAGTAGCCAGAGTAAGCTGGTTAAACTGTGAGTTCTTACCATTCCTTTGCTCAAAACCTTCCAATGGCTTCCCATTTCAAGGATAGCCATGAGGTCCTATATATTTTGACTCTGTTATCTCTTACCTTTTCTCCTATTACATTCTCCACACCCCTGAACACTTGTTCTGCTCCAGCTATAGTGGATTCCTTGTTACTCTCAAACACTCCAGGCATATTCTAACCTCAGGATCTTTGCACCTACTGTTCTTTCTGCCTGGAATACTCTGCCCTGATATAGCCTTACCTCCTTAAATCTTTATTCAAATATCACCTCCTCAGTGAGCCTTTCCCAGGTAACTGTATTTAAAATCACACACCCCATAACATTTCTATCCCCTGTTCTGGATTTTTCTCCATTGAACTTAATATCATATATATTTTTTTTTTTAATTGACCACACAGAAAATACGCTGTATGTACTGCTATATCCCATTGCATAAACCAGTTTCTGGCACAATAGTATGCACTCAAAGAATGAATGGTAAACTAAGATTCTTAAAAGCTACATGTCTTTTATTCTAAGAATGTTAAACAGTTTTCCAACCAGATAGTTGAGAAAGTACTTCATTTTAAAATGTCTGTTTATTTTAAGAGGTATTCAACTGGCCTTGAAATCAGTTAATTCTACACTGTTTTTTAATTGGGTCAGATCACTTCATTAAAATAAGTCCAAATGTGACAAATGATGATAACTAATTTTAAATTAAAACTACAATTACGATTTGCTTTCTCCAAATATACGTTCTCTCAGGTAGTCCATCTGAGCATCCTTTGTTGATAGTGCCATTGAGTTCCATTCAAAATGTGGAATCTATAAAATAATAATGTAGTTTGAATAAAAGTTTTAAAGCAACAAAAACAAAACATCAGGGAAGACTTGTAAGCACTATTGAGCAAAGCCGTTGGAACCCTATGAAATTAGTTCACATAGCTTAGTCTTTGAATCCTGTTTGGAAGCCAAATGGGTCATCCTTCCTGACATTGCCCCGAAGACCTTTTCTGCCTCACAGCACTTTTCATCCTTCTGTTTCTATAACATCAGCAATGAACACTTCTTCCTATGTACGCTTCTACCTTCAGACACTAGCCTTTGTCTCTCAGAACTCTACTTATCTCTGTAATGCGTCCCTCCCTAGTAAGGGAGATCAGAAGACCTCCTAGGGACAATAAAGGAATAGGAAATTATTATTTTATGTTGTTCTACCAAGAACCAAAAAAGGTAATTATGGAACTTTCATATTAAAGGAAGCACATATATAGTCAGTGACTATTCCATTTTTTTTTTTAAAGAGGCTGAAGTACTGAGTATTCCATACCTGAATTACATGATAGCCCAAAATTTCCAAATGTCGTTTTTTCATGGCAGATTTTCCCTTTAAGTGAGGGATATTTCTACAAAAAGCTCTTGAATCCAAAAACTCCAAAGCAATCCTATATAAAACAAAAATATTTACTTCCAACATCAAAATGAGATACCAAATTATTAAAAACCTTTCAGGAACAAAAGTCCATCTTTATAAACGAACAAAAGCCAAATGAATATAAATGAGCATACCAAGATATTTTTTACTTAAGAAATTAGTAATTGATGACAATTAAACCTATTCATAGAATGTATACAAATTATAGTATTTACTTCTGTGCTTTTAACCCTTTGTTTCTTTGTCCAACATATACTTATTATGCCCCTACTATATGTAAGCCACTGTGAGGGATATAAAGATAAAGTGATATAATTAAAATCTAACGGAGAACATATGATATATAAGTAAGTAATAATTGTAATGTAGTATAGAATGTGGGTAAGAGCTATCAGAAAAGTAGGTATGGGAGCTCAAAAGAAGAAGATAATATTTACTTCCAACTGAGGGACAACTAGAAAGGTCAGCACTTTAGTTTGATTGATAGGTTTTCAACAGTGAAAGAAGGACATTCCAGGCAGAAGGCATAGGAAAAGCAAAGGTATGGAGGTAGAATGCTTGACACGCATGAGAAGCAAATTCTACTACAATCAATCCTCAATAACAGTTCATTAAATTATGCCAGATTTAACATTTAGATAACAAAATCTAAAATTAAGAAGTTACCTTTCAGCTCCCGGTGGCAGCCTTGATCCATCTATTTGGGTATGTGATTTCCAGTTCTCATCTGGCATTTTTCCCAAAATTATATTATGGTTTCCATAAGGAAGAGGCTTTTTTCTTTTATCTAAGACACATTCAAAATCTGTAAGAAAGTATAGAAATCAATGGTATGAATAAGGTAAAAGTTTAAGATAAATATAAAAAATAAATAGAACCCCTGAAACTATTGCCCTGAGATAATTTTTAAAACTTAAAAATATCCCTGAAGTCTTTTTAAAACCAAACAATAGTTTAGCTTAACTAATAAAAAAAAGTCTGCCTTGAGCATTATGCTCTTTTTACGAACTATCTACATGGGATCAAAGTGGCAACTGCAACTAGAAAGATTAGATAGGAACCTTAGGGGGCAGAGAGTTTATGTTAACGGAGGAGGAACAACTCTTAAAAGGAGAGTGAGACTGGTTGCACAACTCAAGGAATGTAATTAATGTCACTGAACTGTACATGTAGAAACAGTTGAATTGGTGTATGTTTTGCTGTGTACATTCTCAACAACAATAAAAGTAAATAAATAATTATATACATATTTAAGAAAGAATTATGTACCTCTCAAATTATCTATTTTATAAGATCTAGTCCAATGGAGGGTCTCCTTGAAAATCTATCAAAAATCAACCAGAAAGTATTACCAAATTCTATATTTAGCATTGTACCAGGCCAAATCATATTAAAGAGTTTTATTTTAATCCCCTTAAGTCTCTTGGTCACCTGTGGAAGAAGCTAAACCAACTCATCTGAACACTAGTAAAGACAGATGCAAGCATTTATCCTACCTTTCCTGTATGAACTGTAGTAAGAGTAACTAAATAGTTGATATGTGAAAGTTCTTTTTAGACAAATTGCAGCTAATAAATGCAAAAGGAATGACAGACGCAGAATACCACCACTTTGCCACCCGTAATGAATGATAAATTTAGGCAATGAATGATCATTAGTGGTTGCTAAAATCAGTAGTTGAAAAGCTAAAGGGGGAGCTTTATAATGGAAAAATCGGCTGACAACACACAAACCCACTGATCAATTTTAATATAATAATTAAAAAAAGACAACCAGCATTGTATGTCTCCTGATATGATCCAATAAGAAGTGCACATCAACTATGAAGTAGTCTGGCCAAAAAACTCTAACCTGAATCTGATCAAGTCTTAGACGTGCATACTGGTTTACAGGAAAAACAGATGCAGGAACATGTTAAATGACACCAGAGGATTGAATTCTGAAAAGTCCAGAATGTGAAGAAAAAAAAATTGTTTTTTTCAATAAATAAATTATACGGGGAAAAATGAGAGAAAGGGAAAACTTAAAAAGACAAATTAACCAAATGCAATGTGTGACTCACAACTCAAAACTATAAAATAAAACATATAAAAGACAATTGAAGACATTTGAACATCAACAGGTTGTGAGAGACTAATAAATTACTGATAATAGTTGTAGGTGTGAAAATGATGGTACTGTGGTTTTTAAAAAGTTATCTTTTAGGTATATGTGCTGAAATGATAATGTTGTGTAGGATTTATTTGAAAAGAATCAGGTGGGACTCTGGCGAGTGGGTGTTGATAACCGTTGATGTTGGATGGTGGTTCATTATACTATTCACTCTACTTTAGTATATGCCTGAAATTTTTCCATAATTAAAAAATATTTAAACCATGAAAAAAGAAACAATGAATGAAAAGGAGAAAGAGTAGGTTTAATTATGTACTTTTTACACATAAGGGAAACTGGGGCACTGAAGCATCTTCAAGTCAATTATGAAATATAGTTCTATTATTAAGAGAATGAATTCTGGAGCTAGAACACCTAGGTTCAAATCCTGCCTTTGCCATTTGCCAGCTATATAACGCTGGACAAGCAATAATGTCTCTGAGCCTCAGTTTTCTCACCTATAAAGTGGAATAATTTACATACCTTATAGGGATATAATAAACAAGCTTATTATATATAAGCACCTAAAACAGTGTGTCACCTAATAAGCAGTATATATAGACCAACTGCCACTGAGTCGATTCAGACTCATGGTGACCCCATGTGTATGAATAGAACTGTGCTCCATAGAGTCTTCAGTGGCTGATTTTTCAGAAGTAGATCACCAGGTCTTTCTTCCAAGGCACCTCTAGGTAGTGCAATCTAGGCACCTCTAGGTGGACTCAAACCTCCAATTTTTTGGTTAGCAGCCAAGCCCATTAATGGTTTGTACCACCCAGGGACTCTAAGCAATAGATAAGTGTATGCTATCACGGTTAAATGAAATCGCAACTGCACTGTTTGACAAATGCACATACCAGCAAAAAACCTCAATGACTAATCATAGCGTACTTATTCAGTGAAATACTATGCAGTCACTAAAAATTATGTGTAAGTATATCTGTTGACACAGAAAAATATTCAAGATATTTTAAAATATATATAAACAAAGAAAGTTACAAACACTGTAGAATGAACCCATTTTGGTTTTTTAAAAGAAGAATCCATTAGAAATACAAAAACATAGACACCGAAAGTAAGCTGTGATTATATCATAGGTAATTTTTCTTTTTGGTTATCTAACCTTTCTGGTTTTTCTATAAGCAGATTATCATGTGTTTTTTTTTTTTTTATTGAGTTTTTTTCCCTTAAATTCCATAAGCAATATTTCCAACCCATACATCTTAATCATACTATATATCAGCTTAACGATAAACAAATATTACCAACTAAATCTTATTTTTAATGTTTTGTATCCTTTTTCAAATAAAAATAAGCCTCTTGACAACAGGAGGTGCAAATATGAACTAGAAATACAAAGGCTGTGGGATGTAATAATCCCAGTTTCAGTACTAACTATGTCTGTGACTTTGTTTCAAGTTAATATACGTTATTTTTTCTTCTTTTTACTTTCCTGTATCTTCCAAACGTTCTACAATGGATCTGTATTATTTCTAGTGTGAAAGAAACTTTAACAAAACAAAGAAAAAGAATGAAATGAGATAATAGGAATAAAGAGCTTACCATAGTGCTTGTTACAAAGTTGGTGCTCCATAATTTCAAATTGTTTTAAAATCCTCTATGACAGGGAATTACAGATCATTTTCATTTTCTCTTTCATATGTTAATATATTTCCTTCTGTGAGCATGACTTTTATAATAAATAGGAGAATATCTGTTTTTTTCAACCAACCTCTGGCAGAGACTGCAAGTTGCCCCCCAGTACCTATTTTTTCCCCTTCATTTTTTTTTTTTAATTGTACTTCATTCAGGTGAAGGCTTACAGAAAAAATAGTTTCTCATTTAACAGTTACTACAAATGTTGCCCTATGACAATGGTTAACAATCTCACAACACATCAACAATATCCTTACTCAACCTTGGGTTCTCTATCACCAGCTTCCTTGTCCCCTTCTGCCTTCTGGCCCTTGTCACTGGACTACTGTACCTCGTTAGTCTCATTTGGTTTTACAGGGCTGTCCACTCCCAGGCTGAACGGTGAACCTCGGAGATAGCTTCACCACTGAGCTAAAAGGGTGTCTGGGGGCCATATTCTCGGGGTTTCTCCAGTATCTTTCAGGCCAGTAAATCTGGTCTTCTTTTTTGTGAGTTAGAATTATGTTCTACATCCTTCTCCAGCTCTGTCCAGAACCCTCTGTTGTGATCCTGGTCAGAGCAGTCAGTGGTGGTAGCCGGGCACCATCTAGCTGTACTGGACTCAGTCTGGTGGAGACCTTTGTAACTGTGGTCCATTAGTCCTTTGGACTAATCTTTTCCTTGTATCCTGTTCTCTTCATTCTCCCTTGCTCCCGAAGGGATGAGACCAGTGGAGTATCTTAGATGGCCGCTCACAGGCTTTTAAGACCCCAGACACTACTCACCAAGGTAGAATGTAGAGCATTGTCTTTATAAGCTGTGTTATGCCAGTTGAGCTAGATGTTCCCTGAGACCATGGTCCCCAGAGCCCTCCGCCCGGCAATTCAGTCCCTCAGGGAGTTTGGATGTGTCTATGGGGCTTCCATGACCTTTCCTTGTACAAGTTGTGCTAGTTTCCCCTGTATTGTGTACTGTACTGTCTCACCCTTCACCCAAGATATCACTTATTTATTGCCTGTTTAGTATTTCCCCCCAACCCCTCCCATCCCTGGTAACCAACAAAGATTGTTACATTTTGTGTGTGAACTTTTCCATGGGTTTTTACAATAGAGGTCTCATACAATATTTGTCCTTTTTTCCCTTCGTTTTTAATAACAGAATCTCTAAATCATAGCTGGGTACATGGCCACCCAGAAAACAAAAACACATTTTCTAAACTCCCTTGCAGTCAGCTGTGGTCATATGACTAAAACAAACACCCATCACCTTCGAGTCGATTCCGACTCATAGTGACCCTAAAGGACAGAGTAGAACTGCCCCATAGGGTTTCCAAGCCTGTAATCTTTACGGAGGCAGACTGCCACATCTTATCCCTTGGAGTGGCTGATGGGTTTGAACTGCCAACCTTTCAGTTAGCAGCCAAGCATTTAACCACTCACTGTGTCACCAAGGCTGATGGCCATATGACTAATGGGGTATAATTTAAAAGAGTATCTACAACTTCAAGGAACTGTGCTTAAAGACATACCCCTTCTCCTTCCTTCTCTTCCAACTTTTGCTTGGACTAGAGACGAGTTGGCTGAAGCTAGAATAGCCATTTTGGACCATGAAGCAGAAGCTCATGTTGAGGAAGGAAGATTATAACAAATAAAGGATCCTGGGTCTTGAATGTTTGTGGAGCTGGCATTTTAGCCCTGGACTATTTCAGTGTGTGGAAGAAAGAAATAAACTTTTAATCTGTAAAGTCCGTATAATTTGTGTATTTTTGTCACAGGCAAATCTAATCCTGACTAATAAAACCGAACAACTGAGAGTATGTGACAATCTGGTTCATCTTCTTGACAAGTGCAGAAATCACATACACATACACACACACACACACACACACACACACACCATCAGCCTCTGTCTGAACTTACTTCTTCACACAAGGCAGCCCACTGATTTCATTCTTCAACAAGTCTTTCAGAAAATTCTCCTTATACGGAATTAAAATCTGCTTCCTTTAATTTTTACCATTTTTTATCCTTAAGAAAGAGATATCTATTTTTTCTTCCACATGACAATCCTTAAAACATTTTAAGTTATGCTGCCCCCAAGACTTCTATTTTTCAGACTAAACATTCCATTTTTCTTTTAAATAACATGTATTGAGCACTTACTATTTTCCAAGACTAGTACTAAATGCTTAATGTGCAATATCTCAGTTTATCCTATTAAGCAGGCATTTATTATCCTCATTTTACAGATGAAGAAAATAATAAGGTTTAGAGGTCTAGGAACTTGCTCAAGGACTGAAATCTGTGCAGCCCCAGTCTTCTCTAGGACATGATTTTTAGATCCTTCACCATCTTAACTGTCCTCCTGTGTTTCTGGACCCTAACTGTCACTGTCTCTCTAAAATGCAACACTCAAAAAAAAAAAAAAAAACACTAAGATATGCCTGAAAGACAAAATACAGTGGAACTACCATCTTACTTCTTACTATTATTAATATAGTTTAAACTGGTATTTGATTTTTGGCAACTATTTACAGTGTTAGTTTATATCAAGCTTAAACCAAAAACCCACAGCTCTCAAGTCAATTCCGACTCATAGCACCCCTATAGGACACAGTAGAACTGCCCCATAGGGTTTCCCAGGCTGTAAATCTTTATGGAAGCAGACTGCCACATCTTTCTTCCTCGGAGCCGAGGGGTTTTGAACTGACAGCCTTTCAGTTAGCAGTCGATCACTTTACCCACTGTGCCACCAGGACTCCCTATATTAAGCTTACAATCCTCAAAAACCACCTGTGCCTATGCAGATGTTTTCTAAACCTAAATTAGAAAGTTTATGTTAATCCTTTTAAAATTTCATCATTTGTTTAAGGCCATCTCTTGAATTCAGCAAGATCTTTTTGAATTTTATATTGCCATCTGACATATCAGCTACCCACCAGCTTTGTCATCCACAATTAAATCAGCATGCCTTCTACGACTAGACCACTGAGAACATGGCCAAGCAGGTTATGGTAGAGCATAACACCTTTGGAAATCTCTCTTCAGGTTAATAATCTAACTTCATCTTTTAGAAGAACTTGAGATAAAAATGAGAATGAAATTGAGATAAGTCACTTCTCTGACTTTAGCACACTGACTGGAGAGGAAGAATATTTAGAAGACCCAAAAATTTTCAGTGAATCTGAATCTGGGTTTTACTTAGAACTGGTGAAAGACTGACTTAAAAAAATTTGCAAAATGCTTGTAAGTTCCAACTGACAAGATGATTCTATTCTAGTTAGTCTTCTGAAAGAACATAGTAACCTACCAGTGACTTACCTATTGTGTAGTAATAAGGTGTAAGAACCGAGGCTTTTACACAATTGATTCCTCCTAGTACCTCTGCTAGCATTTTATACATCTGCTGCTGTGCTCCATTCATGTTGCCAATCTCTTTATGAGAATAAAAATAATTCATTTAAAATAAGTTAAGCCATTTTAGAATAAAAATCATCCCAATTTACAAACTGAAAATTAAAGATTAATATTTCCAACAATCCACATTTCATGAAGAGTAGCTTCTCAAATTGTTTCAACTACTGAGTTAAAAATTAATTCTTGTATTATCTTTGAAATCTCATTAAAATAAACAAGACCCTCATGTAATACATATAATGACACTAAATTCAATATGAGTTTTTTGCTATCAAAAGGGGTTTAGTGTCCTAAGAAATTTTTATAACACACATCTTATCTACAAAATGGTTCCATTAAAGTAGGTCATGGCACTCCAGGGAACTCAGGTGTCTTATGCAGGTTTAACAATAATAATGGATTACTATAGGACAAAGAACTAAGTGTGGCCTTTTATATCTGGCTTCTCAAAAAAGCCCAAGCAATTAAGATGCTCTTTGTCTTTCTAATATAGCCAGGCAAGTAGGGGCTACATAGGCCACACATCTGGTGAACTTACTTCTGGAAGGGAGGGGGCATGATGCAATCACTCATACGTATTCATTGAGTCGTGCATATTTATAAATTCATGCATATTTATTAAGGTCCCAATCACTAGGGATCCTGACCCTTGGAGCTTTCTCTTTTGGGCTTCCTGGTTTGCTGAGAACATTCGTGCGTGGGAAAGGGTGCTACTTGTCCCTGGTGACAATGGAAGCCTCCTGCCAGGACCTCCTCTAGACCTTGCCTGTATCCTTTCTGCTTATAATAAATGGGTCCTGTAAGTATAGGTAGTCTCCATGAGTTTTGTGAGTCATTCTAGCAAATTATCGAACCCACCAGGGATAGTGAAAGCCAGCAGAGCCTGGCATCTGCCCATTTGGCAGCTGTTTAGGACAGAGTCCTAGCATGTGAGGCACCAGCCTTGGGTGGCAGGTTGACAGAAGAAGTCTGTGCAGGTAGTTTTGTAAAGATCTATTGTTGGGTGGTTAGGGTAAAAGGGAGAGAAAATACCATGTGGGTATCAGAAATGGAGAAGTGGGAAAGCAGGGATGTGAATTATCTTCGCATTTGGGGAACTGGCCTTATGTCAGTTTTTATTTACATAATTACCTACTCATTTACTTTATAATTAAACTCTACTATCTGGCCAAAAGAAAACTCAAACCTTTATTATACAGTCGTTGACAGAAACGGTCATGAAACCAGGGAATCTGAAACTCAGGGCATTCCAAGCAGACTGCTCTATTTAACTCCATAAGACGAAAGTGGACCCTCGTATTTAGAGATGAAGGTAAAACTGAAATTAAAAACAAAATATTAATGGATTTTGAATATTAGACCTAGAAAAGATAACTCATGTTTTCACACTTCATAAAGAAACAAACAAACAAAAAAAAAACCAAACCTATTGCCGTCGAGTCAATTCCAACTCATAGCAACCCTATAGGACAGAGTAGAACTGCCCCATAGGGTTTCCAAGGAGTACCTGGTGGATTTGAACTGCCGACCTTTTGGTTAGCAGCTGAACACTTGACCACTACACCACCAGGGTTTCCTCACGCTTCATATATCCCCATTATTGGCTGATCCTTTTATTCTCATAAAATTATTTCATTTATAACACATCCCCTTTGTATTTAAAAATTACTACATTTAGTGGCATGATTAGGACCAACTCCTGTATCATTTTCATTAATTATGAATGTTAAAACCACATTTTTAAAAAATACTATCATTTTTTCATTGACCTAATATTCGACATTTAGGAATCTATCTGAAGGAAACAGACAAAGATGAGGTCACTGATTTATGTGTAACAATTCGTTATTTACAGTAGTAAGTACATAATGGTATATTCCAAAAACCAAATCAAACCTTTTGCCATTGAGTCAATTCTGACTCATAGCGACCCTGTACTGTACCCAATAAAAAAACATGACATCAAAAAATATTTAATGACATGAAGATTGTTCATAATATAGATTTTTTTAAAAAATGTAAAAATGAATATATAAATAATCCAAATTTTGCTTTAAAATGCATTTAGATACATATAAGTTACATGTAAGAGTAGAAGAGACACAGAAAAGAAAGATATACTCTAAAACATTTTTCTCTTGGGTGGTAATGAGTAATTTTTTATTTTCTATTTGATACTTTTCTGTATTTTCCAAATTTTCTACAGTAAGCATGAAATACTTTTACAAACAGAAAAAAATCCTATTAGTATTTAAATCCTTCAGTATAGGTAGCACTAAAACTTGGATATAAAGTACAAGTTATAATTTAATAAATTAAAATGTAGAAACATACGTTCAAGTTGAGAATCCAATTTGGATAAGAATTTGATGTTAAAAATTGCCTTTATCAGATCTTCTGGAAAACATCCCAGGATGGCCAGAGAGAAACTAAGAAACACTAATATGAGAGGATCCCATATGCCTAAAACAAGATTAGATTTTTTAAAAAATTATATCACACCCCACCTCACATATACATAAACACACACTTTATTCAGGTAAAATCAGGTTTTAAAAAAATGACATAAACACAGCCTTGACAAAACTAATCTATGATGTTCAAGTCAGGATATTGGTTAAGTGGTTACCTTTGGATGGGGTAGAGTAGTGACTGAAAAGGGGACTAGGGGAGAAGGGTAACGTTTCTTGTTCTGGGTACTGATTCCATGGGTGAATTCCATTTGTATAAATTCCAACTATACACTTAGGAAATGTAAACACTTCTGTATTATTATCCTTCAATAAAAAGTTATTTAAAATTGGCTTGAAAAGAGAAAGAATTCAAAACAAAAGAGAGAGGTATATATAGAAAGGACAAGTGATCCCATCTCCATACGGTGATAATAATAGTGCTCAGCAGGTGTTAGGCACCATTCTAAGCACTTTACATATATGAACTCATTTAAACCTCATTTCAGTACACAATAGGAATGGCTATTATCTCTGTTTCATAAATGAGTGTACTGAGGCACAGAGAAGTTAAACAACTTGCCCAAGGTCACAAAGTAAGCAGCAGGTGGGATTTAACCCACAGAGTTCAGCTCTAGAGCTTGAACCTCTGCAGGATGCTGCTCTCTGGAGATCTCAGATGTCCAGGCTGAGAGTACACATATATGAGGTTCAGGTCTTGGCCTACCCCCGCTTACCTTACCTGTCACCTAGTAGTATGGTAGATGCCCCACAGTATAAAGCTTGCAGTTATTTACCTTATTTGAAAAAGACACTTCTGATGAGGGGAAGAGAGTCACCTAAAACATCTTAGCAGCAATATTCTTACAAAGAATACATAACATTAAATCTTTACTTTTGGATTTTTTGGCTGAGTTATTTTTAACAGAGCAAGATCAAGTCATAAATGACGTTAACAGTGACTATCTCCACTGATCCGTCAAAACTAATATTTATTCAAGATAAAGAAAATTATTAATTCATTAGTCATTAAAAATTTTACCTATAAAAATCTCGAAGAAGTTTCCCAGTGTTCTCTCATTAAATCTTTCAAAAAAAATCAAAGCTGTACTTCTCAACTACCTAATCTCATAAGCCTCCATTTGCAAAATACGGGAAGAGAAGTACTTTCATTTCCTTTTTTTTTTTTTATTGTACTTTAGGTGAAGGTTTATAGAACAAATAGTTTTCTTATTAAACAGTCAGTACACATGTTGTTTTATAACATTGGTTAACAACCCCACAACATGTCAACACTCTCCCTTCTTGACCTTTTTTTTGGTGAAAATATACATAGCCAAAGATACACCATTTCAAAAATTTCTACATGCACAATTCAGTGACATCGATTACGTTCTTCCAGTTGTGCTGCTATTCTCACTTTAGATGAAGGTTTACAGAACAAAATAGTTTCTCATTAAACAGTACACATGTTGCCCTATGACAATAGTTAACAACCCCACTACATGTCAACACTGTCCTTACTCAACCTTGGGTTCCCTATCACCAGCTTTCCTGTCCCCTTCTACCTTCTAGTCCTTGTCCCTGGACTGCTGTGCCTCATTAGTCCCATTTTGTTTTATGGGGCTTTTCAATCCCCAGCTGAACGGTAAGCCTCAGAAGTGACTTCACCACTGAGCTAAAAGGGTGTCTGGGGGCCCTACTCTTGGGGTTCATTTCCTTTTTTTCGTTGGCACACTGCTAAACAACCAGAAGAGCACACTCGGTCTCAGTTCCAAGTCTCACCTTTCTGCAAACACACATATGCATACAAATATCACAGCCCTTTTTACTCATCTATTACCAAACAGAGTGGTATCGGACACGGTTAGAAACTATCATTTGGCCTAAAGATCCCACAAAAATATGGCAAACTCCATTACCACAATATAACATAATTAACTAGCCTAACCAGAGGTATATAAACCCATTGCCGTCGAGTCGATTCCTACTCAATAGCAACCCTGCAGGACATAGTAGAACTGCCCCATAGGGTTTCCAAGGAACAGCTGGTGGATTCGAACTGCTGACCTTTTGGTTAGCAGCCAAATGCTTAACCCACTGTGCCACCAGGACTCCTAACTAGAGGTCTATACGTTTATACAAACATACCCAAATATGGAGCCTAACAGCTTATGCTAGATGTGGAAGCTCTCAATAAGTTATCTGCTGCTTGGTGGACGACTGACTGGGTACATCTTATTCTCCAGACACAGCAAAAAGCTTTGAGGAAACTGGTCTCTGGCTGTCTCTCCAACCTCATCTCTTACCACCTCAGTCTCCCTCACTCCACTCTTGTCACATTGAATCTGCCATTTCTGGAACAACAAAGCATGCTCTTAACTCAGGGCCTTTTGCACTTGATTTTTTTTCTCCCTGGGACTCTACTTCTCATCTATCAATGTGGGTCACTCCCTTACTTCATTCAGTTGACAGTCAACTGCCATCTCCTCAGAAAGGCGGTCTCTGACTCCCTCATTTAAACAGCACTCCCCACCCCATTATTCTCCGTCCTACACACTTAACTCTGCTCTCATTTTCTTGAGAGTACTTATCACCGCCTGACTGTATATATTTGTTTATTGTTTATGCCAGTCTCTCTCCACCAGAAAGTGAACTCAATGAGGGTAGAGTATACCTGTTTTTATTCTCTTCTATATCTACCGTGCCTGACACATGGTACGTATATAATCAACACGTGGTGAATGCTGAAGGAAAAGGCAGTAACTACTGAGCCAGAAATTTCACTTCTAAAATATCCACATTATTCTGACAAGTGAGAGATGTGGATCTGAGAAAAGAAGCCCCTTGAGGCCCTACTCCTTAAAGGCCAAACTGTCCCAAACACAATTCAGGACTCAAAGTAAAGGATAAAAAGGGAGGGGAAAAAAATGCAATTTCTTTCTTTTGCTGTCTTTAGTATACTGCCTATGCTATCTAAGGTCAACAACAGGAAGGACTATCTCTGTTCTGCTTTTTTCCAGTACTGAAACACCATTTAAAGATGTTTTTAAGAGACACTAACAATCAGCACAGCAGCAACCCTTTAGAAAATTAAGAAACATCTACTAAAGGCCCTTAAGAAATATTCATTTCATTTAAAAAAACAAAAACAAAACTATTGTGAGCAACCATCCAATACAATTGGTCTCTATTCACCTGGAGCAGCAGAGGAAGAAGGAGACTCAGGAACCAGTGAAGGAACTAGACTGCAGGTCTACCTGCCTCCATGAATTACTGCCTCCTTTGCCATGAGACCAGAACTGGATGGTTCCTGGCTACTATTACGGAATGTCTTGATCAAGGACTCAACAGATGCATCCTGATCAAAAAGTGGGAAAATGTGGAATAAAATTTCAAATTTCTTATAGAAACCAGACCTATGGATTGAGACTGGAATAACTGTCAAATCTCTTGCCTTGAGAAAAGTTTTGAATCTTGAACTGAAACTATCCCCTGAAGTCATTTTCAAATTTAACAGTAGTTTAGCTGCATTAGTAAAGAATATTTGCTTTGAGCACTGAGCTCTTTTAAAGAATTATCTATAGCAGATTAAATGGGCAACAGTAACTCTAAAGCATAGATGAGTAGTTTATATGGGGGCAGTGAGTCTAAGTCAATGATAGTGAAATAATATGGGGAGAGATAGCAAGAAGAATGTAATCAATGTCACTGAACTGTACGTGTAGAAATTGTCGAATGGATGTATGATCTACTGTGTATATTTTCACACACACACACACACACACACACACAACCCTAGGGATAAATCTTTAAAAAAAAAAAAACTATTAAAATTGACAGAAACAACCAGATAGTATTTGTCTGCAGGTGTGATACAAATATAAGGTACACAGTACCACAAACGAAGTATTTTTGCCAAAAATATTCAATCTGAATCTAATCAAGAGGCAAGTTAAAAGAAAGCAGACAAATCCAGAATGTGGCACAATCTATAATAAATAGCCAATTTCTTCTATAAAAAGTCAATGTCAAGAAAAAAAAAAAAGATGCTGGGAAAGTGACATGCCAACCAAATGTTGATTGGTTTTTTTTTTAAAAAAAAAAAAAAAAGTCATAAACGACAATCTAGTGACAATTGGGAAAAGCTGATTATGGACTCAGTAGCAGATGGTATTGGGACTTGTTCATTTTCTTAGATGTGTTAATAGTTTTGTGGTTATATAGGAGAATGTCCTTATAACCTGAAACCCTGAAGTATTTAGAGGTGACACTTCAAATGATTCATCACATACACACATACACACACCCATGCACACACAAATCAAATGTGGCAAAACGTTAATAATCATTCAAGCTGGATTGTGGATATACAGTACACAGACGTTTGTTATACTGTTCTTTGAATTTTTTGTATGTTTGAAAACTTTGATAACAAAAAGTTACAAAAAAAACAAATACTCTCCCCCAAAAAAGTCAAGGCCAAACCAAAAAAAAATAGTGAAATATAAAAAACGAAGTAGACCTATATTCTAAATAGAACACTGTTATTGTTGTGTGCCATGGAGTCGATTCCAACTCATAGCGACCCTATGGGACAGAGTAGACTGCCCCATAGGGTTTCCTAGGCTGTAATCTTTATGGGAGCTCATCACCAGGTCTTTTCTCCCAGTGGAGCCACTGGTGGGTTCAAACCGCCAACCTTTTGTTTAGAAGCTGAGCGCTTAACCATTGTGCCACCAGGGCTCCTTTAAATAGAACATAAAAGACTAGAATATAAGAGACTATAGAGATAACAAAAACAAACACAATGAGTGAAGCTTGACTGGATACTGGGTTAAAAAAAATAAAAAACACTCTCAAATGTACTTTGGGAACAATTCGGGAGATTTAAATAAGGACTGCATATTAGATATTAGGGAATTATTATTAATTTTCTTTAATGTGATAATAGTATTGTAGGAGAATGCCATTATTCTTAAGATGCATATGCTAAAGTAATTAGAGGTGAAGGGTCATAATGCCAACAACGCACACTGAAATGGCTCAGAAAAAAATCAGAGAGCAAGAGAGAAACAAATAAAGCAAATATGACAAAAATGTTAATAATTATTGAATCTATACAGTGAATATATAGGTGTTTCTTGCTCTATTTTTTCCATTTTTCTGTAAGTTTGACATTTCCATAATAAAAATGTTTCAAAAATGGATAGAAACTTTTATTTTTTAGGTATAGAAATCTTACTATTATGCCTACCCTTTCACCGAGGACTATCTCTTAGCCCAGCAGCAAGTATCCTCTGACATACTTAATTCAATGTATTATCAAATAATATACCTACTTAGGTAAGAATTAAAATGTTGAATGCAAGTCCCCAAGAATTCATTCCTTTGAGGTGGATCATAGTTCAAGGTGCTGAACGGAAGAATAACAGAAAGGATTGAAAAAGGATGGATCTGTATAAATAGAACAATATTTTTATAGTTTAAACTTCAGTAAAACAAAATTTTGAACCTAATTGCTATTTCAGGTAGAAGACTTTTTTTTTTTTAACATGCCTATAGTTATATATAGACTGTGTCATTCTGTGTATTGATTATTTTCATACTGCTATTATCTGTTTAAACACACCACTAATTAGTAGTAACTCTAAAAGTATTAACATAGCGCTTGCTTCTATAGCACATATACTAAAAACATTAACGCAGAAAAACAAATCAGACAATCTACAAATTAATTTGTTATGTCAAAAATCTTGTTCCAGAATTCAAGTCATTAAAATGAATAGAAAACTGCATCACTAATTTCCATGATACTCAGTGCTTTTAAAGAATCAACATATTATGTAATTAAGGAAGTTTCTGTATCTTAATTTATCATCATTAGCATTTATTTTTTCTTTGTTCATACATTCTTTTATTTCATTATACCCCTACTCATCAAATACTTAATGGCTGCCAGGAACTATGCTAAGCAAAGACAAACTTTTTTTTTCATTTGTGAGAAAATACTGTCTTATAAGTAAAAGCCTAAAACCTGCTGTACACAGTAGAGATTTTATAAGTGAGCTGCTTCCCACATAATCCCAAAAAATAGCACTTTACAAGTTTAAGAAATAAATCCATAAGATACAATGACAATTTGAGAATACTAAGCTCAATAGATACCTCATCATTTTCTCAGCTTTCATACTTATCTTACATTTTTCAATATAATTGTTTTTAAAATAAAAGTAATGTCACAGGATTACAGAAAATAAGAAAAAGGAAAAACTAAGTAATTTATACTCCACTATCCTAATACAACTATTATTATTTGCAAGTATTCCCTTCTAGTCAATGAATTTTGACCATTGATTTAACAATACTGTAATGAACCAAAGGATGATTGCTAATCTCCCCAAATCAGCAATTCTGGGGGAAAGAAAGTGACTTTAAGAGCCAGTGTAAGAGAGAGGAACAACAAATTGCTGAACCAAAAACTAGAGTTTAATTTTTAAACTTCAAATTCCATTCCAGGTTCTCAAAGTACTCAAAAAATTTTGTTCTCAGAATAAAAAATTACACTTCTAGAAGTTACAACCATATAAAACTAATGTGTAACATTTAAATTTTACCTTTTCAATCTGTTGAAGGACCACTGAGGCTATTCTATCAAGTAGCAAAGTATTGAGGTAGCTAGTTCTAGAAATAAAAGTTGCAATCCCCGCAACATTTGTGAAATTAATTTCATCCATCAACCGTTGTAAAGTAGCAATTGTTTCTTCAAGAAGTGACTCAACAAACCAGTCTCCTTTTAAAGATTTAAGTTCCTCCCATAACAGATCCAAATTATTGCTTTCTTGTAGCCTCTGACGTCCATACTGATCTAATTTTTGAAGTAGTTTCAGTTGTTTTCCAGTAGTACTATTCAAATACGTGTGATCATACTGAATCCATCTTAAAACAGATGTGGCAAAATTATTCAGATCACTGAGGTCACACTGTGGTAAAACTGCTTCAATTCGGGATGTCCCTACTTCATCTAGGTGAGGCGAAGGAAGCATGGAAATAGCACTGACCAGGATGGAAATCTCAGCAGGTATGACACTGATTTTCAAATAACTAAAAAGGCAGGGGGGAAAAAATGAAAAGAACACAAAGTTAATACATAATCAACAAAAAAAAGACAAATATTAAAATACAAATATATTATTATTATAATCAATATATGTGACAGGATTAAAAGACAAATTGATTCAAAAATGGTTAAAGTCAAAGATAACAGGTCCATAATGGGTCATTTGGAGTCCTGGTGGCACAGTGGTTAAGAGCTCAGCTGCTAACCAAAAGGTCAGCAGTTCATATCCACCAGCCTCTCCTTCGAAACTTTATGGGACAGTTCTACTCTGTCCTATAGGGTTGCTATAGTCAGAACCAACTCAACGGCACCTAACAACAATAACAACAATGTGTCATTAAGGGAAGCTCAAATGTTCTGAAGCATACCCCAAATTTTTTTATGAAAAAATAAAACTTTAGTTCCTGGATAACTAAAGGTCAGTGTCAGAATAATATATCCGCCGCCATTGCTGCCGACAGAATCGGGCTGAATTTCTAATGTGACATGGCAGGAGCTGGTATGACCTAGTACAGGGGCTGGCATACAGTGATCAGTCAATAACACTGGTTTCCTTCTCACTTTTGCTACGTAGGGAGTCCAACCTTAACACAAACAAAACACACACAGGACATACAATCCCATTCTCTACTCCTCCTTTCCCAAAGTCCCATTGCAAGAGTCCTGCCACCAGTTGTTAAAAAGTAAATAAAAAACTGGGAGCTTTTAAAGAACCTTTAGGTTTAAAAGCGGTGCAAGGGATAATCAAATAAACCTAAATTAAAAGAGTTACCTGTCTTGCTTTAAATTAGCATATTAAAATAATCATAATATTCAACACTAGCAAAGTAGCATTAATACAGGCATTCTTATGCACCATTGTTGTTGTTAGGTGCCATCGAGTCAGCTCCAACTCATAGCAACCTTATATACAACAGAAGGAAACACTGCCTGGTCCGGCGCTTTAGGAAACTTGAAAAGCTGATGTAACCTTTCAGGAAATAATTTAGCAGCATGGCTCAAGAGCTTTAAAAATACATCATTTGATAGAGTCAATCCCTGTCTAGGAAACTAGCCTAAGAAAATAATCTAAAATGTGGACTAAGACTTGGGTACGTTATTCATCACATTTTGAATATGGCTAAAAATATAATCTAAATATCCAAAGATGGGGAAAAGTTAAGTGAATTGTGGTATAGAGTATAATGGGGTGTTGTTCAGTCATTAGGAATATTTGCAAGAAGTTCTTAATGATATGTGAAAACGCTTATAAGGTTAAGTTAAAAAACAAAAAAACAATATGTTCATGGTTCTCATATATACACACACCCTACAAGGAAATAAACTAAGCTGTTAACAATGTTTGAATGGGTTTGTGAATGACTTTTATTTTCTTCTTTATACTTTTCCCATTTTCTAAATTTTTCGAAATGATTGCTTTTTATATAATATTTGGCACAGTGCCTGATACACAGTAGGCACTCATAAGTACTAAATATTTTATTCTTAAAATTACAAAAAACTAATACAGGATTTATATATATATATATTTAAAGAAAGAAAGCTCCAAAAACTACATCTGTTTGTAGAATTGACCTAAAAGAATTCCCAATATTGGCCAATCTTGTAATTCTTGTCCAAAATTAAATCCACAACACACCAAATCTCTCCAGTCTCAATCTGATGTTCTTCCTTGTGATACTCCCTCAAATTCCAAAACTTTGATATTCATGTGTGTTTATTTATATCATTACCTATTCACCAGAATGGCTAAAGTTAAGAAGTCAAAAAATACCAAGTGTTGGCAAGGATGTGCAACAACTACTCATATTCTGCTGGTGGTATGAATTGGTACAGCCACTTTAGAAAATTACTTGGCAGGATCTACTCAAGATGAACATATGCATACCCTATGAGCCAGCAATTCCACTCCCCGCTAAATATCCACTGAAATGCATATACGTGTTCACCAGAAGATATCTACGAGGATATTCATAACAGCACTGTTCATAATAGCCAAAAATTGGAAATAAATCAAATATCCATCAATAGTAGAATGGATAAATAAATTTTGTTATATTCTAACAACAGAATAATATACAGTAAAAACATAGCTAAATCTCATAAACAGACTATTGAGCAAAAGAAGCCAGACACAAAAGAAATCATACTGAATGATTCTATTTACATAAAGTATAAAAGCAGGCAAGAGTAACCTCTGCTATTAGAAGCAGGGATAGTAGTTACTCTTCGGGGGGGAGGAGGAGGAAAATAATGAGTGAAAAGGAATATGTATATTTTATGTATATTACATTTCAATAAGCTAAAAAAAAAAAAAGAACAAAGACATTATTCCAGGACATGAACTCCGTTGGTTTGCTGACAGGTTAAGGAGCTATATTTAAATAAGCACTTTTTGTGATTTAGTTCAGTTAGATTGTGTTCCTTCTAACATCCACTTAAGATTATCTGCACTGAAGTGGGAGAAGGTGAGTAATTCTGGAACATGAGGCACCTATGATTTTTACATAATATTTCCCAACTTTTAAATGTTAGTAAATAATTTGAATAAAAATCATTTTCATACAATTTTAAAGTACAGAGATTTTAAGGGCTCTCGCTACTCAGAATTAATTACTCTTAACATTTGCTCTCACCAAAACTTCACATAATAAAACATTACAAGTAAAGTGAGATCCCCTTTGATTGTTCTACTCCAACTATCATTTTTCTGTTAATGTACCATAGGCAAACAGTATTGTATAATTTAATTTTTTTAAAAACACTGTGCAGGCCAAATAAATCTTGTCTCTGGGCCAGTTTACAACATCTAATTCAGAACATAACATTCTTAATTCAGAGGCTCTCTATGTGAAACCCTATGCTAAATACGGAAAGGATGAATAAACAATAAGCATGCACACAATCACCTTAACAATGAGTTATTTCTACAAGAATAAGGTCAATTTCTTTATACACACCAAATATACCAAACTGTCATTTGATATAATGCCACTTCTTATTCCTCAGTTCAAATCCTTTTTAACCATCCAGTTATCACTTGATTATAAAAATCTCTTTCAACTATATGCCAATCTTTTGATATGGCATAAAGTCTCATGCCTGGTCTTTCAGAAATCACAATAAGAAATCAAACTAGTAGTGAAAAACGGAGGGGGAAAAAAGATTAAATTATGTTTTGAATTGCATTCAAGTCATTATTCCCATTTTTTAAAATTTAAAAAAAAAATTTTTTTTTTCAGCAGCAAATTCCATTTTAGCCTAATGAAAGTCAACAGAAAACTAAACAACTTCTTAGCTGAAATATGAATGCTAAATCCATGGAAAAGCAGGGAATTTTAAATTATGAAAGATATTTCTATGTGAAAATACTTTTTCACTAACATTACCATTATATATTTTGTTTTAAAAGTAAAAAAAAAGTTAAATTAAAAAGTTTAATATACCTTAAAATAGGCAAGTAAGCAGACTAAGGCCCCTAAATATGAATGCTACTAAATGAGGTTTTGCCTTCCTCAGCAGTCCCAAATCTTTTCACAGTTATTGCGTTCCTGCAGAAAAGGAGAATGGCTTGGCTTTTACTGCTATTCATCCCCTAGGGAAGTCAACTGCCCTATTAGCCTCATTTCCATTTGAAAATATACCAAGCATGGGGATTGGCAGGATGAGAATGGGTAGAGAGAGGTGTCTTAACATTTTTAATAATAAGCTAGCTGAGTCTATCTCCGCAGAGTTCCAACCAATTCTTTACATAATTAAACAAAACAAATGTTAAGGCTAGATTATAAACTGAAAGGTTAAACAAACACTTCTAATTGAATCTTACCTAAGCAGTAACTCTCTGAGTCTCACAAAAATGTCTTTACTTTGAAAATGCAGAAAAATCAGTGCTCGAGTTATCTTCAATAACTCTAGTGGTTTATAGTTATCCAAATGTTTATGCACAACTGAAGCAATTCTAAAAAAAAATAATAAAACATACATTATAATCAATTCACTCATTTATTATTATTAAACATTTACTGAGGAGCTTTCTCATGCCAGACACTATGCTATGTGCTGGATAAATAGCAACAAATAAGATGGTTAAAGAAATGTAAACAATTAAAATACAATGAGATACGAGTTATCAACGAAGTGTGGATGAAATAGAGTTCAATTATCAATAGAGAGGAGATAAAAACAGTCTTATTTCCTAAGTAAAATCTCACAGAGCAGCCATCAAATTCCACATCCTCCAAAAACTGAACCACCAGTTACTAACAAGTAGCAAAATTGACTTAATTTTCTTCCTTCAGTCCCATTGGGCCTCTAATGGAGGTGCTTCAAAGCAATGGGAAATATTAAAAGGTAGAAAGTTGGAGGAAATAGGCAGCTGGTGGGTTCGAACTGCCAACCTTTCGGTTAGCAGCCAAGCACTTTAACCAGTGTGCCAGTGGGGCTCCTTCCGAAATGGGCAGAAGGAATATTAAAATAAAGGAAAACATAATGGATAATGAAAATTTAAGCTAATAGTTTGAAGTACATTTTTTTCCTTCATAAATCTCCAATTAACAAAAATACCAATATATGGCATTACGATTTCAAGGTAACAACTGTGGTGTGAGACAATTCAAGTTCACATGGATGTTAAATATTCTGCAGAAACTGTCCTTTTGCAAAGTAGGCTCCTTGTGCTCTCCATTTTCCTAAATTATGATGCTCTGCTGTTGTATAACAAAAGCAGCAAATGAAATGAAAGATGACATAAATAATTTCATCATCTCTATTTTGAAAAACAAGTTAGAAAATAATTAAACTATGCCGTGTTAATTCTCTATTTCTTCAAAAACAGCTAGATTACAGGGGAAAAAAACATAATTTTTTCCTAAAAAAAAAAAGAAAATGACAACTCAAACATAACACTATGAATTAAAGGAAACACTACTTTTTAATCAGGCGTGAATTTCTACTTTCCATCTCTTCCATTGCTCCCAACACTGCCAGGGCTTGTTGGCTGGTCAGCTCCTCTGACATCAGTAATATGGTTGATTTAAGTCTAAAGGAAAGAAAAATATTTATCTACTGAAAAGCTGATGATTGGCTTGTAAAAAAAAATTTTTTAAGTAACAATTGTTGGGTAAGGAACAGAAAAAAATGTAAATGTAAACACAAACTGAATTCAATATGTAATTCCAATTTTCTCCACATATAATTGGGAGATAATATAAAATATTATTAAATAAATAATACGTAAAATTGTTTTCTTCATAGCAATTAAGGCCTTAGTATAACCTAATCTTAAAATGTTTTTTCCAGATATGTTTTATTCAATAAATGACTTTCAAACAAGATAAGGTTCCAATGTTTATAAAATACAATGATTTGATGAAATTATTCAATACTAGAGAGCTAAGGAATTAATGAATGACATTCTAAGAATATTCCAATGTCTTAAAATTAAATAAGATTTGACCAGTAAGCCAATATGCTTATTTCACCTGCATAACAGAAATCTTACACACTAAACTCTTTCTATAACACTATAAACTAAAAATTTACAGAAACGGCCCATTTTGAAACCATCCAAAGTAGTTCAGTAATGAAAGTGCCAAAATAAAATATGTCTTTTAGAATAATTTAGAATAATAATAATAATAAAATAATTTAGAAATAATTCAGGCTCAAAACATGAATCCTGAGGACAGCAGGATAAAATTGTCTATTCATCCTAGATAGCTCCACACTATCCTTTTCACCTAGTCCAGCTTTATCAAAGGTATCAAATCCAGTTTCCCACCCCTCTCCCCGACCCTCACCCCCACCCCCACGCTTTTCCCAACCACTTCAGCCTCCTTTCTCACTTCTCTGCCTGCCCATACCACTTACTATCTATGTCACTGATTTCAGTACTTACTCATAAGCTATATTATGGTATTCACATATTTCTAGAGCCCTTAGTGGTGCAGTGGTTAAGTGCTTGGCTGCTAACCGAAAGGTCCGTGGTTCAAACCTACCAGCCACTCCTCAGGAGAAAGATGTGGCAGTCTGCTTCCATAAAGATTATAGCCTTGGAAATACTATACGGTGGCTATGAGTCAGAAGTGACTCAACAGCAATGGATATTACATATTTCTATTCCTCCAACGAGAATATAAATTCTTTGAAGGCAAAGACACTGCTAAGTCCAACTTCTGTACTGCCTTAGCATGAGATTTTAACAATACGTGGTGACCAAAACAAAAAAAGATTCCTAAGATTTTAATTTAATCATCTTGGTTCCACCTTGATATAGTCCTTTAAGATGTGACCTTAAATTTCTTCATATAATTCAAAAAACTCTTAAAAATAAAACTTTCTCCATGAAGTTCCCCCTGATGAATCATTCCCTAATAATGCAGATTCCTCTGTTATGCAACTCCTGGAGCCCCTGCTTAGTAATATGAGGCCACTGATTATACTTGTTTGCTCATGCCTAATAATCATGTATTAAGTTAATATTTGCTCATCTGTATATCCCAAATATTTCTATCTACATCAATATCTGGCAAAGCTGGAAACTTAAAAGATAGAAGCCGGATCGATTTCACTCAAAACTAGCATGGGAACATATTCCAGTGGACACAGTAAATGACTTTGATGATGAATGTGATGAAGACATCAAAGAGTAAAATGGTCTGTGTCAGGACTACTACAGTTCTGAACATTCCACACCCTATGCTGGGGATTGTAGGCCTAAGAAGAGAAAATAAAAGCACTAAATAGTGTTCTCCATGGTGTTCTTCCTCCTCTTCTTTCTGTGTTGGGGAGCAACAGGGGGTTATTGTCCATCTCTCCCAGCATACCGGTTGCCATCAGTTCAGACTCATGGCAACCCCATGTGTGCCATAGGTTTTCAATGGCTGTGATCTTTTAGAAGCAGATCGCTAGACATTTCTTAAGAGGCACCTCTGGGTGGACTAGAATTGCCAACCATTTGTAAACAAGTTTAACATCCAAACACGTTAACTGTTTGCACCACCCAGGGACTCCTTTCAGAGCATAACAGTAGATTAAGAGTTGAGATGCAAATTTAAACAATCAGAGAAAGAATTAAGCAGGAAAGCGTAAGAGGTTATTCTCTTTTACAAAGTCTGATGGGGTGATTTTTGTGCCTTCCAGAACTTCAAGGAGACCTAACCATGAAGGGTCCATATATCCCCAACAAAAAAAAGTACTTTTAGCTCAACTTACTGTTTCCTTTCTTCCGGTCCTGCCATGGGTCCCAGTGCTACAAATAATTTTACAAAGCTAGCAGGGTTATCACACAGAGGAGTCATTTCAGTTAGCTTCGTTTTAGCCATTCTAATAAATTCAAAACTATGAAACTGTAGAGACTGGTATAGGCCAAGTATTTTACTGATGGATTCTAAATCAAGGTGGCTCACATTGCTTACAAACACTTTATTGCACCTTTCTAATAGTGGGTAGTAACTATATTTAACATTCCGAAGAAACTGTACTATTCTTCTTGAATTGTTGACCTGGGAAGAATCTATGGTGTCAAAAAGAAGTTCTGTTTTGTTTACTAATCTTTCTCGAAACTGTTGTGATATTAAAGAAGATGTGCTGACCATTAAGACAGACAAGGACCTGAAAAAAGAAAAAGACATAAGCATTTTTACATTATGTAGGAGTAATGACCAAATGTGAGATTAAATCAATAGCTATGGAAAGGGGTTGGAAAAAATATAACGGGTTTTATGCTATGAGATTTTTCTTATAAATACAAGTGGAACTTGAAATCAGATCACCTAGAAATTGAATTCTTTCAGACAAAAAGTATTGAAATAACGTTTTTTATTGCACGTGTAAAACACTTCAAGTTTCGTCCGTAGATGACACTGTTTTTGGTGGGAAATATTTTAGTGAAAATTACTTAGAAATCACTTTGGATTAATAGCCCATGAGTATAGCATTAAAAGTTTCATTTTGGATTTTTAGAAATAGATTTCACTTTGTCACTCCTTTCTCTGTATATTTATAATTTACCAATAAAAATCTTGGTAAAATATTTCCCACTAATAAATGACTTCATAGTTCTTAATGTTTTATGTCATTTTGATATTGACAGTACTCAACACAAGATGGCATTTAATATTTCTTCACTCAATAAGCACTTATGGAGAATAAGTCACTCTTCTAGGCACTAAGGAAGACACCAAAATTAATAAAGTGCAGTCCCTGCTCTCAAAAGATTGCTCTTATACAATACAAACATCTGAAAACTAGGAATGCCCCTAGAATGAATACAGTATGCAAAATGGAAAAGACATAACAAATGCTCATAGATGAAAATAAGAAAACAATAAAAAAAAAAAAAAACAATTGAAATGTTAGTATATATTTTTTCAAATTTCTTCAATCTTCTCATAAAATAAACTAATTTTCAAAAAACCCACAAAGGCCAGTTGTACAATGCTTTGGCTTTTCTCATTACAATGTTTAATGTTAATTAATATTAACAGATTAGCTAAAATTGTCATTTAGTTTAACCATGAACTCTTTGAAATTATTTTTTTTAATTGTGTATATATTTGTAATTGCAGTTTGGAGTTGGGGAAATGTCCAAAGACTTCATTAGATTCTCAAAGGGGTCTGTAAGTATTTTTAGAATTTTATGAAAAAATTACTGTATAGAGATTTTTACTATTGTCTCCCTTTTACAAGACACTTTCTCACTTTCAAACAAGTAAGAATAAACAACACTAAACAATCTGTTAAAAAAAAAACAAACAAACTATTACTTCCAAGCAGCATAATTCTTTGGAATTAGAAAACTTAGATTCAAATCTTGACTCCCTCTCTTACTGGCTGAGACCTTAGGCAATTTACCTAACCTCATGGAGCAAGAGTTTATCATGTAGAAAATAGGGATTAAACTAGCTAGATGGATATATTCACATTTTTGCCCTTCTTTCAGTGCTAGATCACTGCGCTTTCATTTTCATCTCAGATACTTACCCCAGTGTTCAAAGCCACCCCCTTTCTGCCCCAAACATCTTCCCAGTCTTTAATGGGCTCTCATTCTCAGCTCTCTCTCCAATATTACTTCTACAAACTCACTAGGAATGAAGTTTCTACACCTTTCCTAAGATTACTGGCACTGTTGTATTTTAAATAGTTTTCTTAGGTTCTCCTTCAATCTCAGTATTTCATGACATCAGGGATAGCTCAACCAGTAGCAGGTACTAAAAAAATGCTATTTGTAGGATAATAAAGAGCCAGGCTAAAAAGATAAGTGAAATTTAAAAAGATAAGCCAGCTTAACAAGATAAGTGAAATTCCCACTATTAGTGAATTTAGCAATGTCAAAGGACACAAAATCAATACACAAATATCCACTGTATTTCTATATACTAACAACAAATAATTGGAACATGAAAAAAAATTTTTAATGCCATTTCCAATAGCATTTCAAAACATAAAATATTTAAGAATAAATTAAATAAAAGCTACATAGGACCTCTACATGAGAAACTGTATCTTTCCTAAAAACATGGAAAGCTACACAGTATGCATGCATTGGAAGAGTTGATTTTGATGACAGCTCTTCCCAAATTGACCTATAGCTGTAATTCAATCCTTATCAAACGGAAGCAGACTTTTATTTGTGGAAACTGACAACCTGACTCTAAAATTTATAAGGTAATGCAAAGGACCCACCATAACCAAAATGATATTGAAAAAGAAAGACCAAGTTGAAAGACTTGCAGTATCCAATTTTAAGACTCAATTTAAAGTTACAATAATCAACAAAGAATAGTTTTAGTGAAAGGATAGATTACTGGAACAGAACATACAGTCCATAAATAGAGATAAACATTCACAGACAAATTGTTTTACAGACGGGTGCCAAAACAATTCAATGGGTAAAGTCTTTTTATCTTCTTGTGTTACAACTATATATCCATATGAAAAAGAAAAAATCTTGACCTCTACCACATACCATACACAAAAACTAATTTGAGATGGATCATAGACTTAAACATAAAAGCTAAACTAAAGCGTCTAGAATAAAAGATAGGAAATTATCTTTGTGATCTTGGAGGAAGCAAAGACTTCTTAGAGACAGCATAGAAGGCGTTAACCATAAAAGAGAAAATTAAAAACTTATTATCAAATGATGCAATTAAGAAAATGAATAGGAGAGACACAAACTGGCAAGAATATTGATAACACCTATCTGACAAAGGACTTATATCCAGAGTGTATAAAGATCTCCTACAACTTGGTAGTAAGACATGCAGTCCAACTCTTAAAAATGGGCAAAAGACCTGAACAGATGCTTCCCAAAAGAAGATATACAAATGGGCACAAGCACATGAAAAAGCGTTCAACATCATTCGGAAATTACAAATTAAAACCATAATGAGATACCACTACACAATACTGATAACATCAAACGTTGGCCAGGATATGGTGCAACATTGCTGATGAGAATGCAAAATAGTATAACTACTTAAAAAATTATGAGGCAATTTCTTAAAATCATACATCTATCCTATGACCCAGCAGTTCTATGCCTAGGTATTTACTCGAGAGAAATAAATACATAGTCTACAAAAAGATTTGTATTAGAATATTTGTTGCAATTACCAAAAACAACAAATAGCCCACATGTCCATTAACAGCTGAATGGATAAACTGTGGTATATTCATACATGGAATACTAGTCAGTAATAAGAAGGAATGAACGACTGATACATGCAGAAACAGGGATGAGTCTCAAAACGTATATTGAATGAAAGAAGCCACACGTTAAACAGTACAAATCATATGATTCCATTTACATGAAGTTCTAGAACAGGTAAAATTTATGTAGGGTAACAGAAATCAGAACGGTGGTTGCCAATATAGATGGGGGGTAGAACTGAACAGGAAGGGAATAAGGAAACTTTCTTAGGTGATGGAAATATTCCCTATGTTGATATAGGCACATATATTTGTTAAAACTGATAGAACTATACTCTTAATATCTGTGATTTCACCAACTGAAAATTAAACCTCAATTTAAAAAAATTTAAAATTTTCATGCATAATTAATGAGTATATCCACAAGCATCTTAAGTTTAATAAATGTTTGTGACTGGGAAAAAACCTGTCAGGCAAGAACCTCGGGCAGCCAGAGGGTATCATAGGTGTATTTAAAAACAAAACAAAAAACAGAAAGGCTGGGCTGGGAGGAAGGTGAGGTTGTGAAAAGAGGGCGGGAAACTATTACAATTTTACTAAAGTGTAATCAAAAGTAATGTGCTAGAAAAAGCTGATCTGAAACACCAAAGACAACCACAGCACTGAGATATGAAGGTTAATCACTGATAGTAAGTAATCTTACCATGCCCCCCAACCCAAAAAGAAAAAAAAAGCACTACTCAGAAAACCAGAGACTCCTCAAATGTTACTTTGAAATTAATAGTTCTTTGACACATGACTAATATAATTATTAAGTCTCCTTTATGAAATGAAAAAGAAGAAAATATTCTCAGATGGAAGAAATAAGAAAGATGTAAGTGCATGCAAAATTTTATGAATTCATATTTAATTTTAATACTTCCTGGGTTTACTTCAATGTGCAATAATAATAGCAACTATCAATTACTGAAAAATTTCTATGCTCCAGATACTTATTAGAAGATAATTGTCCACGGGTTTCTCAAATTTCTACATGTTACAAGCAGAAACACCGACTGCCTTTACTCAGAACTTATCTTTTTCAAGCATGTTTGTATAGCAAACAGCTTAGGAAGATAGAGATAGTGTCTTCCTCTCAAGCAAAGAACAGATATATTTATTGCCTGTTATAAAAGATTTGGGTTACCTAAGCTCAGGGCTCCTCTCCTGGAACACGGCCCACTGTAGGAATTGGAATTCAGGGAACCAGGGTAAGAAAATGCTGGTACTCTGGCTACTGCTATTGCTATGAGAAATAAAGTCCTTTGTCTTTGACCTCAGAGTTTCATGTCTTCTGCTAGTATCTTTGAAACTGTGGTAGGCTAACTAGTTAGCTTGCAAGTAAAGTAAAATCTCAGTCCCTTTGCAATTCTCAACAACACTGTGTTTAAGGGCTTTATATACAATATATCTAATCCCCCCACCAGTGCTGCTAAGTAGATATTACTATCCTCATTTTATAGATGAGGATACTGAACTTCTGAGAGGATAAATAAGTTAGCCTAGTCATACAGCTAGGAAGTGGCAAATCTATGTGTGTCAGCATCCAGGATCTTTCCACCACAACACAAAGCCCCTAAATAGATTTACCTTAAGTCCTGTATGGTTTCCAAGTTTCTATGTACAATATCAGCTATTTTTCCCATTAATGGACTAAAATGCAAATGTTGATCTGCTAGGCAAGAAGAAAATTTTGACAGCACATTAATATCAAACCTATTAAAGAAAACATACAAAGGAGATCATTAGTATTTACTTTCACTTAAAACACTTAAATACAAAGCAATCAAAAAAGCTACTTATGTTTGTTACTAATATAAAATTTTTTCTAAAATGTTATTATTATAAAAGTAACACACGCTAACAGTTAAAAAGACAGATACTATAGAAAGATTAAAAAGGGAAAATCACTCAAAACTATTTGAATCATTTATCTATTAGTTTCTGAGATAATAAAACAATTTCAACTCAAGCCTGCATATTAACAAATAAAACAAACACTCAATATTAAAACCCTGCCGTGAAAAACTTGAAAATTTTTCTACAAGAAAAATTACCCAATTTCTCCAACAAGTAAATTGCAAGAGAAAAGTGATGAAGAACTGTTAGAGATTTTAAAAGACTTCTAATTCATTAAAACAGAAGCATAAGAAAGTTCACAACAGCGTTATATGTAATAGTAAAAAACTGCAAACAATCCAAATGTCCATCAAGAGTACAACAGATAAATTATACATATTCATACAATAGAATACCACGCCACAATAAAAAAGAACTACTGACTCACACAAAATCATGGATGAATCCTTAAAATACACTGAATGAACTAGACACAAGAGTACATATTGAATAATTCTATTTCTATAAAAAGAAAACTAATTGACAGCACTAGAAGCCAAGATAGGGGTTACTCTTGGGGTAGGGGAATGTGATTGGAAGAAGACATGAGGAGAACTTCTAGGGAACTAGTAATATCTTGTTCTTAGTCTGGGAGCTGTTACATAGAAGTGAGCCATCAGTAGGTGAAAATTCATCAAGCTGCACACTTATCTCTCGTGTACTATTATATGATAGTCTTCAATACACCTACCCCTCACTTATCGAATATGTCGTTTTCTGATATTTCGCATTTACAACAATAGTAAAAAATCTACTATCGGACTATTTTCCACATTAACAATGTACGTCTGGCAGTAAGGAATGCCGAGGTGCAAGGCAAGAGTAACGCTGGGTGTGATGGTTAAGGTTACGTGTCAACCTGCCTGGGCCATGATTCGCAGTAGTTTGGCATTTACGTAATGATGTAATCTGACAGTGATGTAATGAAGTAATCATCTTCCATTTTGTGATCCGATGTGATCATCCTTCATTTTCTCACAACGTTAATTTTTGCAAAATGACCTGGTCTTTGGAATCTAACCATGTCCATAAGTGAGGAGTGGGTGTAAAGTGTTTAGTTTAAAAAAAAAGAGAAACCAAAGAACCCTAGCAACCAAATGTAATGTGTAGATCTTATTTGGACACTAACTTAAACAAGCTGACTATAAAAAAGACCTTTACAGGACAATCAAGGAAATTTGAACACAGACTAGGTATTAGGTGATATTAAGGAATTATTAATTTTTATAGGTATCATAATGACATTGTATATTTTTTTAAGAGTCCTTATCTCTAAGAGATACATACTGAGGTATTTACAGATGGAATGATGCTGTTGTTGTTCTCAGGTGTCGTCCAGTTGGTTCTGACTCATAGCAACCCTATGCACAATAGAACAAAACACTGCCCGGTCCTGCACCATCCTGACAATCATTGCTAAGTCTGAGCCCATTGTTGCAGCCACTGTGTCAATCCATCTCGTCGAGGGTCTTCTTTTTTGCTGACCTTCTACTTTACCAAGCATGATGTCCTTCTCCAGGGACTGGTCCCTCCTGATAACATGTCCAAAGTACATAAGACGAAGTCTTGCCATTCTCACTTCTAAGAAGCATTCTAGCTGTACTTCTTCCAAGACAGATTCATTAGTTCTTCTGGCAGTTCATGGTATGTTCAATATTCGTTGCCAACACAACACTTCAAATGCATCAATCCTTCTTCGGCCTTCCTTCTTCATTGTCCAGCTTTTGCATGCACGTGAGGCAACTGAAAATACCATGGCTTGGGTCAGTTGCATCTTAGTCCTCAAAGTGATATCTTTGCTTTTTAACACTTAAAGAAGTATTTTGAAGCAGATTTGCCCAATGCAATACGTCCTTTGATTTCTTGACTGCTGCTTCCATGGGCATTCATTGTGGGTCCAAGTAAAATGAAATCTTTGACATCTTCAATATTTTCACCATTTATCATGATGTTGCTTATTGTTCCAGTTGTAAGGATTTTTCTTTTCTTTTTTTTCTATTTGTTTATTTTTTCCAAAACAAAAGTTTATATATAACATTGTTATGTGATTCTGATTGCTCTCCCCATACTGTGACAGCACACTCCTCCTTTCCACCCGATTCCCCATGTCCACTGAACCAGCTCCTAACTCTCTCTGCCTTCCCATCTCACCTCCAGACACAAGCTGCCTGTTTAGTCTCCTGTATCTACTTGAGCTAAGACACACACTCCTCACTAGTATCCCTTTATGTCCCACAGACCAGTCCAATCCCTGTCTGAAGAGTTGGCCTTCGCAATTGTTTTACTTCTGGCCTGATAGAGAATCCAGAGGCCATGCTTTCTGGGGTTCCTCCAGTCTCAGTCAGACAATTAATTCTGGTCTTCTTACTAGAATTTGAGTTCTGTACCCCACCCTTCTCCTGCTCCATCAGGGACTCTGTTGTGTTCCCTGTCAGGGCGGTCATTGGTGGTAGCCAGGCACCATCTAGTTCTTCTGGTCCCAGGATGATGAAGTCTCTGGTTTATGTGGCCCTTTCCATCTCTTGGTCTAATACTTTCCTTGTGTCTTCGGTGTTCTTCATTTTCCTTTACTCCAGGTACTTGGGATCAATTGATGCATCTTAGATAGCCGCTTGCAAGCTTTTAAGACCCCAGATGCCACTCACCAAAGTAGGATGCAGAACATTTTCTTAATAAGCTTTGTTATGCCAATTGACCTAGATATCCCCTGAAAGCATGGTCCCCCGACGTCTACCCCTGCTACTCTATCCCTCAAACTGTTTGATTGTACTCAGGAAACGTCTTAGTTTTGGTTTAGTCCAGTTGTGCTGACTTCCCCTGTAGTGTGTGCTGTCCTTTCTTCACCTCAGATGATTCTTATCTACTATCTAGTTAGTAAATAACCCTCACCCTCCCTCCCTACCCTCCTAACCATCAAAGAATGTTTTCTTCTCTGTTTAAACCTTTTCTTGAGTTCTTACAATAGTGGTCTTATACAATATTTGTCCTTCTGTGACTGACTAAATTCACTCAGCATAATGACCTCCAGCTTCCTCCATGTTTATGTTTCACAGCTTCATCGCTGTTCTTTATTGTTGTGTAGTGTCTTAGGCTGGGTTCTCTAGAGAAGCAAAACCAATAAAGTGTATAAATATATATATAGAGAGAGATTTATATCAAGGAAACACCTCACGCGACTGTAGAGGCTAGAATGTCCCAAGTCCGTGGATCAGGGTACAGGCCTCTCCCAAGTCACACAGCCGCAGAAGCTGGCAAGCCCAAGTTCAGCAGGTCAGAGAGCAGGGCTCCCACTTACAGGCTGTGCAGATCGACGAATCCTAAGTTCAGCAGATAAGCTGACAGCTCAAGTCCCAAGAACTGGAGATGAGGCGACAGGAGACAGCCGCAGGATCCAGAGAGCAAAAGCCAGAACGTCTGCTTATATTCAGATGCGGACCACATCCGCAAGGAGACTCCCTTTCATCTGATTGGCTACTCACAGTATAGTCAATCATGGGAGTGATTACATTAAAACACTGAGAATCATGGCTCAGACAAGTTGACACACAATCTTAACTATAACACATACTATTCCATTAGGTGGATATACCATGATTTGTTTCTCCATTCAACCGTCGATGGGCACCTAGGTTGTTTCCATCTTTTTGCTATTGTGAACAGTGCTGCAATGAACATAACTGTGCATAGATCTATTCATGTGACAGCTCTCATTTCTCTAGGATATATTCTAATGAGCGGGATAGTTGGATCATACAGTACTTCTATTTCTAGCTTTTTAAGGAAG